CCAGGAGTCGATGGTCAGGATGACGTTGGTGTTGGAGACAGCAGCCAGAATAATTGGCGTGCACAGGTTCAGTTGCATCGTCAAAACGCAGAATCCATTGTCACTTCTGAGGATTGTCAACAGCACGAACGCGGCAAAGACACCGACAGCGTTCGCGATGACGAGAGTCCGAGTAATAGAGCCGATCGTGCAGTCACCCTTCATTGCGTCGTCGCGCACCACGGCGGTCGACGCACGGACGCCCCACATCGAGCGTACTTTTGCCGGCATAGTGGGCTGTGGACTCCAGAGCCCACATTGCACCCCACAAGGGACTTCCGCGTCGGGCTGGCGCACCCGGCATTGTGCAAACCTTGAATGTGATTTTGAATTCACAAGAAAAGCACAAATGCGTGTGAAATTTGCCAAATTCTGGATGTTTCGAAAGTACAAGAAAAGAAAAAATTCGCGAGAAATTCACCGACTTTTGGAGGTTTCGAATGAAAAAATATCCACCATGGCGACATTTCACCAAGCGACCGACATTCCTACAATCCCCGTCGAACCTGCGTCGAAATGTGCACATGTCACGCACGAGATGTCCAGCGCGAGCATCCGCGATCGACAGCGCAAACCTTCCCGCGGGACGCCCTCGGTCATCTTGGCCGAACGAGAGCTACCGAACTCGCCAATTTTGAACGGGGGACATTCCAACCCGTTTGGTCCCCGTGTTGGAGCTTGCGGAAGACCATGACGCCGCCCTGTCGCTGTTCACATTCTTGCTGGTCGCTTGAACAACACCTCGACACGCCAATGCTCGCGGCCTCATGCGAGTGCTGCATCCGTACGCCACGACTGCATCCTACCCAGCTCACCCCATCGCAAACCTGATCTCTTCTTCGTTCGCGAAATTCGGTGGACAAGTGGATTACTCATCCGGCCACGATTCGTCGATGGAGGAAGACGGCCGACAAGCCAGCAGAGGCAACTGCATTGGCCACAATCTGTAGACCACCGAGTCCACTGCGACGTCTTAGTCGTTGGGCTCAACATCGTTGCGAATACTTGCGTCGGTAAGCGTCTGGGAATTCCTACTCACGGCGAGTGGGGCATTCGCAGACACAAGTTGGATGGACGTAGTGTGACTGGTGTATTATGACAGAGTTGCTCGGCCGCCTGTAAGCTCGCTGAGGTATGTCTCGAAAGCTGTGTTTTTTGCCACCGGAAGCTTCACGCGCATTTCAGCCCCATCCACACCAAACTCCAGCGCTGTGATCGTGCCGTCGAAGTTGGCAAGGGTTTTCTTGACGGTGTCGGCAAATCGAATGGGCACATGGAGGGTTCGCGATGACGATACCTGGGTCTCTACGATAGTTGCTTGCGACATGACGAGGTCGGCCGCGCTGCTGTACGCTCTGACGAGCCCTCCCGTGCCGAGCTTCGTGCCTCCAAACACTCGAGATACCACGAGGCATACGTCCTGCACCTGATGTTGGGACAGCACTTGCTGAATGGGACGACCTGCAGTGCTGTGTGGCTCTCCGTCGTCAGAGCAATAGCATTCCTTGGTGGCAGCGAGCGAATACGCAAAGCAGTGATGGTTGGCTTGAGGGTACTTTACTCGTCGCTGTGACACAACCTCGAGCGCTTCGTCGCGAGAAGTTACTGGCGCGATGAAGCCAATGAAGCGCGACCCTTTGATCTTCGGCAGCACCTCCGCTTCCACGGCTCTCAAGATCGTGGAGAAGCGCATCGCCCTGACTCGCTCTCGGGGTGATTCCGACCATGCACTCGATTCATCTTGATCAATTAAATAATAAAAGATTGTGAATTCAACCAATCAAACAATGCTATTTCGGATAATTAACAACAATATGCCATTCATGCGGAGTGTGCAAATGTCGACAGAGACCAAGCTTGATGGAGTCTATTCGAGTTCGCAGCAGGATATATTTGACGGCGTGGCATGCCATGATCGTTGGCTGTGACTCGATGTTGGTGGCCCAGCGCAGCTAGCCACTGTAGTAGCAACGTGACTCGAGGGTCGCAAACCCGACATGGCCTACTTGATTACGAGCAATCCAGGCCACCTCACCACGCATCGAAATGACAGACTCGTTGCGGTACAGCACACAAGCTGAATAGTGAACGCTGTACGAGAAGCATGCGCGATATAAATCAAGATAAATTAAGGGGCGACGTCGAGAAGAAGTCGCTTAATACACGGTCCCGGCGCTGCGAGCGTAGCCTGTGGACTTGCAATCAAGCGAGCAAAAGTCGTTGAAATTGCTCGAGTATGGCCTGTACTTGCGTTGACAGCACAAACACGTCTTGCATCCGTCGTCGTCGGGCGTGTCGGAGCCCGGGGCGTACGAATTGCACAGAGTCGAGCTGCCACTGAAAGCTCGGCTCGCACCTGCAAGTGGGACCGGGCTGAGTTTTCTCGTGCCTTCTTCCGCAGAGATTTTGCCGCGGAGCCGTCGGAAGAACTGGAGCGGCGACCGGAGTGAGAGCTTCATGACTGTGACGAATGAATTGTGGCCAGAGAGCCGCGCATGCGCCAGGGTTCGCCAATGACTCTGCCCCGGATACCCGCTGCACAAATGTCGAGTATCCTTCGACATATTTTTCCATCACATACAAAAATCTATATATCAAGACTTGTCAAAAAAATTCTTCACTGTTTTTTTCCTGTCGCCTTTCGACGGGGCAAGACATCCGGCAAAGCGTAAAAATTGGCCTTTTTTCAGGTGGACAATTTTCTACGTCTGCGAGGTGGTGACGCGGAACGAGTCGATCGATGCGAGCCAGGCAGTGTACGGGGTCCGCCCTCGCGCTGTCCTGCGCCGTAGGATGATATCCAATTTGTTGCTACAAAAGCAAAACGAATGCGGTCCTTTCGATGGACCAACCGACCACGTTCAACTTCGATGTCGCCCCAATCTCGACGAACGTAGCTGTCCATCGACGTTCTGGTTCATTGACATCCATGCACCAAGCAAGATAACGCCAGCCAGTGATGCCATGAGAGGGGTCCAAATAAAGGGCGCATGCATGGATTTGGCGACCGAGAGCATTCCAAACTCTTGACGGACATGTGGCCTCCGGCAACCAGCCGGCACGCACGGCACTTACCGGCTCAGGTGCGTTGTGAAATATTATATTTAGGAGGTAAACGAGCTGGTATTGTATTGTATCGTATATTGAATTAAACAGGGAATTGCATTGAAAAGAATTGCATCCACGAGCGCATGAAGGCGATCCTGGTGGCGTGCTACCTCGCGCTTCTGGTAGTCGTGTGCGCGGGCCACAAGCGCCACACGAGCAACTGGGCAGTGGTGGTATGTGGAGGGTGTGTTTGCCGGCGGCTGCTTCACCCGTGGCTTGGCAGGTGGATGCGTCGCGGTTCTGGTTCAACTACCGCCACATCACGAATGCATTGTCGCTGTATCACTCGGTGAAGCGACTCGGGATCCCCGACAGCCAGGTACGATATCACGGTGGAAGCATGTCCCTGATGCTTTCGGAGAGTAGATCATCCTCATGCTGGCCGACCAAATGCCGTGCAATGCGCGCAACTGCTTTCCCGGCAAGGTGTTTGACAGCAACACGCACGCAACCAACCTGTACGGCGACGATGTCGAAGTCGACTATCGAGGGGCGGAAGTGACAGTCGCCAACTTCATCAAGGTCTTAACCGGGCGACACGAGCCAGGCACGCCCGCGAGTCGGCGGCTCGACTCGGATGAAGATAGCAACGTGTTTGTACGAACATCCCTGCTCCACGGCGGCGTTTTCTCACGCATTGCCCTCACGAGTCCCCGGTAGATATTCATGACCGGTCATGGCGGCGACGGCTTCCTCAAGTTTCAAGATGCTGAGGAGCTGTCGAGCCACGACATCGCCCAGGCTGTGCAGGAAATGCATGTCAAGGGCCGGTACAACGAGCTGTTTTACATGGTTGATACATGCCAGGCAGGGTCGCTGGCCACGCAGCTGTACTCGCCGAATGTGGTGACGATCGGGAGCGCTCGAACGGGGGAGAATTCGTATGCGTATCACACCGACTTTGAGGTTAGTCAACACACGAGCTCGACGCTGTCATGACTGGACGAAACTAGGTCGGGCTCTCGCTGATCGATCGGTTCACGTACGCTACGCTCGACTACATGCAGTCGATGCAAGTGAACCGCGAGAATACCAAAACGCTGGGCCAGCTCTTTGGCTCGTACGACCCACACATGTTGTACTCGACCCCGGACGCGCGCACCGAGCTCCTTGGCCGGTCCATCAATGACGTTCCGATAACAGACTTCCTCGGGTCTGTCTTGCAAATTCACGTAACGAAGGACGAGTACCCCGTTGTGGCCGACTCGCCGCCAGCGACGTCGTACAGTCATTTGTATCAGCTGGAACAGCCCCGCAGCGACGGCCCGTTGCCCCGACAAGAGAGCGCTCCTGTCGCCAAGGCCGACCCCGTTGAGCTGGCAGCACTTGTGGCTGGCTTCGGAGTCGCGCTGCTGGCGCTCTCGACTGTCCCGTTCACCCACACGATTTAGCCGTCATGGCGATATTGTAGTGAACAAGCACGTGTGCACATTTATTGAGCTATTTCTTGAGCGCAGGCAGCTTGACCTTGGTCTGGTCCCACAGCTGCACGATGCTCTTCACAAAGCCCACCTCTTGAAGCTCGTCCGCGTACATGTACGCGATGCCGGCGGCGACCGCAGCAACAGCGACGACGCCGCCATAAAACAGCCGGTCGTTGAGCTTCTTCGCCGCAGCCTTCTTCTCGGTGAATGGGAGGGCGCCGTGACTAGCCACCAACCCGTGACGATCGAAACACCACTCGTCGCCGACAGGCACATAGCTTACGGATGCAGCGCGCGATGGACGAGCGCGCCGTAGAGCGCGTCGAAACCGGCAGTCGTGCTCAGGCAAATGCTCAGGGGTGAATGCAACTTGAGCTGTGCGCAGTGCCTAACGCACTTGTCGAGGGCAAGCAGCGACGTTGCGCCGTCCTAGCAACGCGTGACGGCTCACAGCATGACAGGGGACGGTGCGTACGTCGATGGGAATCGGCGTCGAGTACGCATACACACATGGAATCGTGTCGGAGACGCACGCCTGGAGCTTGCCAACGTACTCGAACGAGTCGTGCTCGGTGCCGTCAAAAAGATAGCACACAATGTCGACTTGGATCGCGGTCGCGATGGCCTCGACCATGCTGTAATCCACCACGCCTTCCGACACTTCGGTGATCTAGTCATCGCATGAGACTGCTGCTGCACGACCAACAGGTTGCCGCGTACGATCAGCGTCTTCTCGACCCCCGACTCTTTGTCCACGATGGTGTGGACGTTGTGGAGCAAGTGTTGGTACGCTTGAATGGGTTTTGCATCGCCGTCCGGGAACGCCATGGAGAGCGGCTCTGGTGACAAGAACGAAAAGCTCGTCGACGAGTTTGTGAGCAATGTCTACAGCACCGCGCTTACAATGTTGAGAACGCACGTGGCATCCAAGGCGAACCTTGCCACACCCAGGAGGGCCAAACAGCAAACACCGAATGACGTTCGAGGTCGAGCGACGGCTGGCGTGGCTGCGGCGCCTAGAGCCCGCCCCCATCACATGAGAAAGAATCATGCGAATCGTCCTACATCTCCACAGCCGTCGATGCTTTGACGTCGACAAGGCCGAGGTAGTAGAGTTGTTCGAGGGCGCGATGCGGTCGCACTGCCATTTCCAGACTACCGGTCCATGTCGACGTGAACAGAGCTCGCCATCGAGCTCTTGCCTACCTCCACAGCGATAGCCATGCCGACAAGTCCAGGTGCGGCTGGTGTTCGAACGGCAGCGTTGTCCAGGTCGGCCGTTTCTCGGGCGGGACGATTGCAAAAATGTCGTCGACTGTCGACGGCGCCAACGGCGCAAACTGATCGAACACGGCCTTGAGGAACTGAAGCGTGACGGCACTGGGTTCGCACATCTCGTACTGCGCCGTGTCTTGGGGAAGTTCGATGTGGTCGAGCGGGACTTCCAGTTCCAGGGTATCCGAGTACCCCATTGTTCGCAAGACCTACCCAAGCGGCCTTGGACCACCGCGACCTCAAGGCGAACGTCGACTACCTGCCAGCAATGCTCGGGCTTGTTTTTTTCGATTGCTAGCTCCGACAGATACGCGAACCCGTCAAAGCGCAGTCCGCGAAATTCCGATGCGACTCCATCGGGTTTGACAAGCGTGACCAGCTCCAAGAGCGCATCCATGTCCTCCGGCTTCATGCGTGTTCGAAAACATACGTTCTAGACGTGGTCACTTCGCCGTCGATCGGAACTGTGGAGTCGAACCTGATACTCGTGCAGTTCTTGGCGGCTGATCACACCGTCCCGGTCTACATCGAAGAGTCGGAAGATGCGTTTGAGAGCTGTGGTGAACTTGGGTTGCAATTGCTACGGCCAGGCCCGTGAGATCACTGCATGGACGAAAAGAGCCACAGCTACCTTCTTCTCGGCATCGTACAGCGGGGCCATGGGGTACAGCACCGCCTTTTGCGCGAGCCCAAACGTCTTCTTCACGTTGGTCAGCGTCCGCGCGGAACATTCCAACGTGTGCACGATAAACTTATAGTTTCGCAGGACAGATTGCACGCGCGATATCTCTGATCCACCCGGGAGCAAGTCGCTCTTGTTGCCGACAAGAACGACCGGGACCACCTTGGTCACCTTGAGCAAGTCGAGCCAGTACCCCAACCGTTGCGACGAGATCGACCGCGACACGTCGTACACAACGATGGCGGCGTCGCTGCGATTCATCGTCTTGATGACCTCCATCACATCATTCGAGCTCGAACTTGTGTCGTGCAGCGAGATGACCACGTTGTCGCGAGTGTCCTCGGTTGGAATGACAATGTCATGGAGGACACGAGGCACGCGCTCGCTGGCATGCTGAGATACAAGCGCCGAAATGAGGGACGATTTGCCGACCTTCTCATCGCCCAGCACCATAATGCGAATCGTGCGCTGCTTGTTCATGCTTGCCGCATTGTTCGATGTGTCGTCGTGGAGTTGGGCCATCGCCATCGATAGCGCTGCCAAACCAATTCCCTCCCGTTCGCGATCTGGTCAACCGGATGTCCGGATAAAATCCAACATGGATCCAGTAGGAGTTGGTTTTGAAGGAAACTTTCAACCAATTAAAATGCGGCACAACTTCAACTTTGAATATTTTGAGCAAGTGGTCTAGCGAGTTGGCTATTTTCATGCTTATGTGTACCTTCATCTCTCGCCTTCCAACTTTACTCCAACTTCTATTGACTTCAAGTTCCCAAACGTCATTGAAATGAGACGCAATATCGTCAGATCTCAATGAGAGGAAGAACTACGTCTCAATTGGAAAAACGTGGATTCCAAAAAAGGATTGATAGTTAACGAATATTAGCTGGCACCTCGGATTTTGCCACAAGGGCAATGATGGCACGAGTAGGTTTTTCGCAGTTAGGTTATGAAAGGTTTTTCTTTTAACCCTCACTGAAATTGAGCCTTTAATAAAGTTTTATCAATATAATCATATTATTCAGTAGTACCTTAATATGCCCGTAATACCAGTAACTCGTATTGTCCGGCGGCGTCCGCGGCCTGACCGAGCAGTGTTCTAAGATCTGTTTAGAAAGTCCCCAGAATCCTTTCTACGCATATGTCGCAACACTCGTTTTCTCCAAGCCAGTTTGCCGAGCCCGTTGATCCGTTCATCGAAGATATTCTCGAGCTGCAGCCGCAAGACGCGCTCGATATGGTCATCGTCGATGATGTTGATGATGATGCGATGGCCGTCCCCGCATCGGAACAGAAACGCGGTCGCTTTACTAGTGACATCTGGTACCTCTTCACCGACGATGTCGAACCGCAAAAGGTCAAGAGTGCCACATGCAAGCACTGCGAGACGGCGTTCAATCATCAGTACATGCAGAATACAACCTTAGGTTTTATTGTCATATACTAAGGTTTTAATATTTTTATCCAATAATCTTATTTCCTCTAAAAAGTAAAAGAGTTTTTTTCCATCCCTGCACAGGGGTGACCGAGCGATAAACGCACTGTCAATGAATGCATCCAAATTCATCCGGTATATCATTCATTTTATCCGGAGACTGTGTCGCTCGGTCCACAACTCAACACAAGTTTGGTTGGGACCGCTCGAGCGCCGCCCAAGCACAACCAAGAGAAGATGGCGTTTACTCTAGTCAAACCTAAACGAATCATGCAAGTGACAACGCCGCATACGAAGCGACGTTGTCGTTTTTCACAACTAGATGACATTGGCGTCATAGTCTCATTCACTGGACTGTCGGCGAAATAAAAATATTTAATGGATTTTCTTTTATTTAGTACATTATTATTATTATTATTTCAAAAAGTTATTTCTTGAAAATACTATTAATTTTGTCACTTTTTATTAGAAATTGAATTTTACAATTTTCCCATCATAGTACGCTTCGGCATGTGTACTTGAAAGCCTTGAGCGTTGCTGGCGTCTAGTCGTGCGTTCTTCCGTCGCTACGTTCATTGTATCGATGCGTACAACTTGGGTTGTGACGATGCGTTTCCAACGAATATAATGACTCAAACGAAAGCGCGCCACCGACACAATCGAATGCCATTGTCCGAAGACAAGTTCACGTTGGCAGTTGAAAGGAGAGCAAACGTCGAGAACCATGATAAGAATCGCACGTGACACTTTCATATCCAGCATGCAGCGCACCGTTCCGCGGGACAGAGACCACTGGACTAAACAACTCGTGCCCTGCCATGGTCCCTTTCTATCGTCGGCAGTGTAGTCTCCGTTGAGTGGCACTGACCACGGCAGAGGCAGTCAAAAGCACCTGGCGTTTCCCCAAGTGCCCGCTGCCCTGGAGCCCAGACTATTTTTTTACACCGTCGCAAATTGACATCGACCGTGTGGACATTCCAAAATATTCTCTCTCATATTTCAAATTTCGTCATATTTTGAAAAATATTGTTACCTCCCAATTTTGCTGGAAGGTTATAATCGATGACGTGGACGAAATTTCGTGCGAAATTCAACCCGTCAACGTAAACATTGTCGAGAACGAGAAGACGACGACGAGGAATTGTTCGATCGCGCTGGTTCTGGTACTTCCGTCAGTCCACAATGCCCGCCAAAGGCCATGCAAACCTCAGCCTCCGCACGTTCCGCAGCCTGACAGGCCACGCGAAGGGAGCCTTGAAGGACGACTCCATAAGCTCCATTGTCCGCGCACTCGTCATCGCAATTGTCGTGGCCGTCTTTGCCGCGTTCGTCCTCCTAGTATACGCAGAGATCGCAACGATGTCCAGCTCACACATTGCAAAGCATCCCATGTTTTCTGACATGAAGCTCTATTGTACGTCGACGATGCTGGCTGCTGCCCCCATCACCAACCTTATCGTACTCATTTCCAGCACGGCGTGGGTCAGGTTCGCCATCGGCGAGCTCAAGACATTCATGGCGTATCAAACAGCGGGGTGGCTCTGCTATGGCCTGGTCCTTCTCGTCCACACGTCTTGCTCGGGCGTTGCGAATGCCTACGCAATGTGCACAGTTGTGCCAGTGGCGTACCTGGGCTTGATGGCCGAGATCTTCATCGTGTCGTCGCTACTGGCCCTGGAAAAGCAGATCCAGACAGCGCTGCGCAGCCCTCGATCGGCGTCGAAAGCACCGCTGTTCCTGCACAACTACATGAACCTGTTGGCGGTCGTGGCGGCCTTCTTCCTTGCACTCAGTGCCGAACGCGTCGACGGCGCGTACACGACCAATGCATCCCTCGGCTCGCTGCTCTTGTGCATTGCCGCCGTCACGAGCACGTATGGTCTGGGCGGCATTCTCGCGTCCGAAGGCAACTGGAAGTTCTGGCAGCCGTTTTCAGGTGGCGTGACGTTTGTGGCTATCCAGTTTGTGTCGTGGTTGTGCTTTACGTTCAGTGTCGTGCTGCAAGGAGTGTTCTTTCTGTCGTTGATGGTGGTGGAGGTCAAGGTGTTTGTTGGAATCATGGGCGTCGCGGGCATGCTCAGTGTGGCGTCCCAGGTCGGCATGATGGTCAGCGTCTTCGTGTATGCTCCGGCGCCTACCTCGTCCGGACGGCTGCTGCACGCGATGCACCAACAGGCCATGCGCAACATCGACATGATGTTTCCGACGCTGATGATCAATTTGCCGCCGATCGCGTTCTTGCCGTACGCGCTGCCATGGACGTTTGTGCCATCGTTCACGTGGTTCGACGTTGGGCTGTACTTTGTTGGGCATGTTGCCATGCAAACGTTCATGTCCATCCCGCTGTCGCACCTCCTCCAAGTCTACTTCAAGAAGACGTCGGCGGGGGCGAGCGTTCCCTTCATGTACTGGTGCCTTCCACTTCTCTTTTCCGCGATCCCGCTCGTGTCCGTGCTCGTCCACTACGCTGTCGATCACCCTGCAGCCCATGCCAGCGCCGCGTTTGCCGTCCCGTGGTACCTCTACAACGTCGTGACGATGCGGGGCATGCCAGCTCAAACGGGGTGTCGGCAGGACAAGTCCCTCCTACACAAACGCAGCGCGCTGATGGACGCTACCGCGAGGTACTTTTCCCTCAACCTGCTACGCACGGCGCCGCTGAGCGCGACCGACACATACATCTTTGGCTTCCACCCGCACGGCATCATCCCGATGACCGTGATGTGGCTCCAGTTCACGTCTCAGTGGCGTGCGCTGTTTCCCGGCGTATTTGCGTGCCCGCTGAGTGCGAGCGTCGTCCACTACTTCCCCGGCATGCGAGATGTGATTCAAATCCTCGGCGCGCGGGAAGTGACTCGCCAAACGTTTTCCGACACGTTGAACACCCACCAGTCCGTGTTTGTTGTCCCGGGGGGGCAAGCCGAGCTGGTCGAGTCCAGGTCGCGGCAAAACCAAGTTCGTGTGTTCACGGGGCACAAAGGGTTTGTGCGCTTAGCCCTCGAGCACGGGGTGTCGCTGGTGCCCGTCCTGAGCTTCCAGGAAGGCGAGATCCTGGACAACGTGCGGTGGCCCAAACTGCAGCGATGGTTCATCAAGCGGTTTGCATTCCCATGCCCGTACTACCCGCATGGATGGACGGGCTTGCCGATCCCGAACCGCGTGCCGCTCACGATCGCCGTCGGGGCGCCGATTCCCGTGGCCAAAGTGGCCATCCCAACGCAAGCCCAAGTCGACCAACTCCACACCCACTACTTTGACCAGCTGCGGCAGCTCTTTCTCGACCACAAGGACGCAGCGGGATGCTCCGACTATGAGTTGATCTATATTGCGGCATAGGTATGTCCGCTGCGTGCCGTGTGTGTGGGGCGGCATCTTTCAGTGCGAGTGCGGCGCGACCGAACGCCCTGTGGACGGCCGACGTGGTCGAACATTCAAACGGCGTGAAGCTCCAAGCTAGGTCCTGCCCGATTCCAAGCCGAGGGCGCCTCGCGACTCGAGTTGTCCCTGGATGGGTCGTTTGCTCCATCATCCAGGTTTACATCGAGAAAGTAGCAAGCTTTCCATCACAAAGAAGCGTGGCGATCTCAACTGCGAAAAATCGCGCAGGAATCGGCGAGCATCATGGGTCGGGTTGCCGCGACGGGAGTTGGCAGCCAGCTCCAGCATGGCGCCGCGTTAGCAGTGCAAAAACGCGGCGGCGTTGTGCTGCGCGAGCTATACGTGGAGGATTGTCGTGGCGAGAGAGAGAGACAGAGCTTGATTGAGTCGCACTACTGTCTTCCTCGACTTGGACTGTCCACGACATGCACGGATGGCGCGACTAGAGCGTACACGGGATAGGAGCGATGCTGTGGCGTATTGGTTCAAACGATAGCAATCACATTCAAATGGCGGTTTGTAGTGGACTGTTTGACGACGGCGCGCCCGTCGCTGGTCGTGGCGCTGTTGTCTGCTTGGAAATCGTGGGTCGTGCCTTGGTTGGATGCGTGGTTGAACAGGTATACGCCGCCCAGGACGAGGGAAATGCCGACATAATTCGCCGCCGTGACGGATTCGCCATATCGGTAGATGGACACCATAATGAGCAACGCGCGCTTGAGAGTACTCACGACACTGTGGGAGACTGGCGACAGCAGACTCATCACGCGGTATGCCAGGGCGCTTTGCACATAGTACGCCACGCCATTCACCACAAGGCACGACAGGACAAACACGCGTCGGCCATCGCCAAGTGATGACGATGGTGATGCCGCGGACGGGTCGGTGGCCGCGCGGAACGCCACGTGAAGCGCCGCCTGCAGCGTCGCAGCAACAATACTCGAGTACAACTGGAGCTGAGTTATTCTACCATGGCTCGTCAGGTAAGGTAGTAGGCGTAGCTGCATCGCGTACGAGTACGAGTTGGACGTGAGCAGCTTCTTGGACACGACGTTCTGAAAGCAATCGGTGCAATTGGCACTGAGCGCGGCGAGGATCCCGATGGAACTCACGACACCGACCGCTGAAAAGCTACAGCACGCCAAGCCAAGCATAATGGGAACGAGGGTCAGGCTCACAGCCCACGTCGTGGGTTTGCCCAGCACGGCGTACGTGAGCGCGACGGTGAAGAATGGCGCCGACGACTTAATCGTTTCTACAATTGAACGGTCGCTCAGATGCAGGAAGCGCATGATACGGGGAGGACGTTATACGGGCAAGGGAGACAGAAATGTACTTGAGCGCTACCAAGTCCAACACGATGTTGATTATGCGCACGCAGCCCAGAGTCGCCATGTCCTTGAGTCGCGATCTTGGCAGCGCCTGGTCGTCTTGCTTGGACGATGACGGCCAAGCAAAGGCTCGATAGAGATCGTTCGCAAATTTTTCTGTCCCCACCCCTCGTACTTCGACCAACACGCCACAGACCACTGACATGGCGACCTGCATGAATGACAGCACACTCGTGTTGACTTCGACGGTCGTCACGAGGAACTTGTTGGCCCACAGAGCCAAGAGGCTCACGATGTACCACACTGTGGCTCCGTTAGAGTCGTTGGATGTGCATACAGACATGCACTTACATCCGACAAAGATGACGAGGTCGGTGGATCGTGCTCCGCTCCTGCCACTCTTTGCAGCGCTCCTCGACGGACACAGAGACAGCTTGGTACGCATCATGGCGCTCCACGGTGCCGTCGACCGCGGTCGGTTCATGCAGCGCGATAGAAACGTCATACTACACACCCCAGCCACAGCCAGAAGAGCTTGCGCAGTGCTCTGTCACAATTGTTGACTCAACCACGACTGCCCTAAAATTAGCCGTGCGTTGATGTCAAGCAACTGGCGGACCAGCCTTCATGGAATCATGTCGTCATTCTGCATCAAGGCGTCCTTCTTGCTCATGCGCCACCGCCCTTGCTTGTAGTTCGCGCACGATGTCGCGCCAGCGTTCGTTCCATCGCCATGGCGCACTCTGAGAGTGTTTGAATTTCTGATTTGTTTGGTTGTATTCGATTGGCCAATGGAGTTCGTAGATCAAAATGATTGGCTCATTCAAATTCAGTTCCTTCGATTGCATCGCGGCCGCCGACGGACGCCCGCCACGTCGCCGCCGAACGAGGCATGTCTTCCGACGAAGAGTTCGAAAAGTAAGGAGGTTTCATGGAGTGTGGCCCTGCGATATGTGTGCACTATCTTACGTGTCTGGTAGGTTCCTTCAAGGCGATTCGGACGACGAACAATCGGCGTTTACCAAGACAAAGAAGAAGGCGTCCAAGAAGAAGACCTCCACCGCGAAGGGCTCGTCCTCCAAACCGAAAGGGAAACCAGGTAGTCACGCAACGATTTAATCTGAATGCCATGATGAGTTACGAGCTCTCGTGTAGCTGCAAAGCCTGCTGCACCAACGCTTGCGTTAGATGACAGGTTGGCTGACTCGCATTCGACAAACATAATATCAACTTGATTCGTGGCCCAGTGCGGACCCATACAATTTCGACATGGCCCCTTCTGCGCTCTCTCGAAGCAGCGATGACGACGACGACTTCGAGGTGAAGAAGGAAGCGCAAAAGAAAGCGAAACAAGACAACGTGCCGCCTCCGAAAAAGTTGTCTCTCGAAGATCGCATGGCCGACATTTTGAAGCGGCACGGAAGTTCCTTGGCCGAGACGTTTGCCAAGCCCAAGGAGGTCGAAATCGTCGTGCCACCGCCACCAGAAGTAACTCCCCTTCATTTCGTCTCGACCACACTCATCAAACGGCCAGAACCCACCCGCCAAAGACGACAATGGCGAAGCAGACACGGCGTCAGATAAGGCTCAAAGCTCATCGTCCGACTCCCTCGGGATGGAATCGGCAGACTTTGAGGTTGGATGCATGTCGTCCATGATTCCGTTGCATTCCTCAATGCGGGCGGATAGGTGGGAGGGTATGCCAAGAAGGTGCCGCCAGCAAGGGTCGAGGTAGACTCTCGTGTGCAGCCAAATAGGTCGATACAATTGCTCGGTGTGTTGTCGAATAGACCAAGGAGGCCCCAGTCGTCCGAGCCATCGCACAGCCAGGTAGGAGCCGTCTCCACGGTGGTGCCCGATCACGACGTTTCATTTATGACTGCGGGCGATCGATTAGCACCAGCAACCATCGTCCATAAAATCGGCGACGACGACAGCACTGGCTATGACGATGAGGATTTGGACAGCGTAACGACCGCACCGACGCCAGCCGTCACAATGGCCCCCTCCGCAACGCCTTCCGCGACATCATCGGCGCCCGTCCTGTCGCTGTCTTTCACTCCAGCGCCATTCAAGAGCGAGTTTGAAAAGATGAAGGTGTTTTAGCTCTGGTGTGGGTTGCCAACGAATCCAATAACTGTGGTAGAAGCTGTTTGCGATGCCCGTGGAAAATCGATATGACGAGAATGAAGAAAGCCACGATGTGTATCAAGATGATGCGTTTGAAGGCGATCCGTCGCCCGATGCAGTCCCACCACTCGCTGTCCCTGCTCCTGTACGAGGTTGCGATGCCTGTCCCCACCGACGTGACTCGTGTAGGCTCAAGAGGACCCCTTGGACAAGTACGACGACGACGAGTTTGAAGATTCGGATGGCCCTCCGCCATCCCCACCCCCATCTCCTCCTCCAGCAGCCCCGTTGGTATGTGCCTTCATGGCATGATGCTTTGGGGTGTGTATTCCTTAGCTCGTCATTGCTGTGACTGTTAGTCCCCGGGACCGCCGCCGCCGCCAGACTCAACCTTTCCAGGGTACGAACGCTTGCGGTTTTGAGCAACGAGCAAGCATTGGCGAAGCCATTCGTTGCTTGGTAACGTGGTTGTTGAAGGGCTTCTATGTTGTTGGACGAACCGAAGAATCGAGAGAGTGCAGTTGAGATCACGATGGCACCAACCCCTCCGAAACAGGGACTGCCGTCGTTCCTAGACGAGTCGTTCGAGTTCAAGTATGACCTCCGGACGAAAGTCGAGACCAATTTAGCTCCACCAGACGACGACGAGCCACCACCTCCACCGCCGCCACCTCAGCAACAACAACAAAATACAACCGACGCGTCATCGAACCACGCGATGGCGCAAGTGGTGCAGGAACCAAAGAGTAACGTGCCATCCACGACCACCGATCCTGTCTCTACTTCGATGCACGTTGCCCAGCAACTCGAAGCAACTCCTTTGACAGAGCCGCACCCATTGGTCAACCCAACTGCACGTCAACCCGCTGCTGCACCAAGCCCCATCTCGCCACCACACGATAGCGTGGTGCTCTCGCAGTCCAGTGCGCTGCATCCACCATCCATCCATCGCGACGGGTCGGACAGCAAGGTGAACGCAATTGCGGCCAAATTTCACGCCCTACAGGATCAACTGAACCGATCGACTCTGGGGCCTCCTGCGACAGTCGCCGGTTCGATCGACACATCGTTGGCCCAAGCGTTTGAACGAGACAAATACATCCTTCGAGCATTCTCGACCAAAGAGAACGAGATGAAGTTGCAGCTCCAAGCGGCAGAGCGCGAGATCCTTTCGCTGCGCCACCAAGTCGAAGCGTTGGCCACCGAACAGCAAGTCCACACGTTGTCGGATGCAAGGCTGTTGGGCAAATACGTCCAGCCGAGCGGTGGCGTCCACATGACGGACCAGGCGTGGGAAGCCATGCGAAAGGATATCGAAGTGCGTTCCGTATTTTGATCACGAGGTGCCATCTCTCAACTCACGTGGGATGCTATCTGTGAGCAGTCCCAAGAAGCGCTCATTCAAGGGTACCAAGTGGAAAACGAGCGGCTCATGCATCAACTGCGAGAAGTGCGGCGGGATTTGCAGGTGCTCGACTCGATGTTCGTGCGGTGGATCCTCACGGTTGCGCCATGGAGCAGTACGACGTGCACCTCAACAACCAGCAACTCGTTGCCACAATTAAGGACCTTCGCCATCAGTTGGAGACGTCGACACACTCGTCCACGGCCGCGGCATCGTCGCATCAATTGGCGGCCCAACTGCGCGCGGACGCGCAGATCCTCGCTTTAGAAGAAGAATTGCATCAAGCTCGCAAAGACCACGCGCGGCGAGAGCGCGAATTGAAGTTTGAGGTACCGCATTCGTCTCGCGTCGTGCTGGAGCAACTCAGGATTTCAAATTGCCCATAGCTGGACCAAGTGAAGAAAGCCAAAGTCGACTTGGAGTGTCGCGTCGGGGGGGTGCATATGGACACGCTCCACAAAGAAAACGAAGCGTACGACGCGCTGAAGCAACAATTAAATGCGAAACTCGATGAAGCACACGCTCAAATCGAGTCGCTGCAAGCAAAAGTCGAATGGTCGGGACACCACCACATACGTGCCATGTCATCGGTAACGCGGTGTTGGAATGACCGCATCGTCGAGTAGGTATGTGCAGAACCAGCGCTTCATCGATGGTCAAGATGAACTGGTCAAGCAATTGCGCAGCACGATTGCAGCCCTCCAAGAACAGCTCGCAGACAAGAACTCGCGGCCGAGTGCAGTTAAGTCCAAGAAGCCAGCAGCGCGAACGTCCAGTACAGCAGACAAGCGTCGAATACAGGCATGTGCACGTTGTGTTCGTGGGATGGTCAATACTGTGGACGACATAGGCTCTGGAAGCACAACTGAAGGAGATGCACACAGCCATGCGCAAGCGCCATCCTGACAGTCTGGTCAATCTCATCTTGGCGTCGAAACCGACGGCCGATGAAATCCAGGCCAAGGAACAACACGACCAGCAACTGCAGCAACTTCGTGACCAACTCGCCGAGATGGAGAAGCAGCACGAAGTCAAACTCACCAAGTTTCGCCAGCAACACGAACGCGTCGTACAGCAACTTCGCGACGAAGCGGTCGCCAAGGTGCCGGCCGCAGACAATTCGTCGGACGTGGCCAAAGTTCGCCTGTACTACCAAACCAAAATCAAGGTATTTGTCGAACCACTTGATGTGCGCAGCAGGTCCAGCGCAACGACGGGAATCCCATGATAGGACTTGGAGCGAAAGCTGGAAGCAAAAGCGACAAAGGTGGAGAGTTTTTCAAAGTCAGGTCAGCGTGCCCCGTGTGCAGCCGAGCCTTCCTCGACGACGCTGGTACGTCCACATCGTTCGATGCAAGGCAGCCGACAATGCTAGGACGACCTCGAGCAACGATATCGCGAGCGAGAAGTGTCGCTGCAACGGCAACTCGACGAAAGTGAAAACGCCCGCCGACAGTTGATTGCGGTGTTCAATAGCACCGCTCCACCTGCATCGCCAGCCCCCCAACAAGAAACACCGGCACCTACTGCCGTCCAAACTGCTCGGATTGTCGAGTTGGAGGCGAGGAATGCCCACCTCGAAGCCGACCTTGCACAGGTGCAGACTGCAATGGCCGCCCTGTCAGAGGCGCACAAAGTCAACCTCCAGCAAACCAAAGACATGTGGCAAGAAGAGTTGTTGCATCTGTCTGAAAAGCTCTCGAATGCCCAAGCGGTATTTCGTTCGTCGTCCTTGCGTCGTCGTCACGTCGTGAGTTGTGGCTATACGTAGGAGTGCCACCGATTCGCACAAGTCGCCGCGCAAGTTCCCGTGCTGGAGGAACACGTCCAAGCGCTGCAGGCCAAACTCGACATCCCCAACACGCCGTCCATGCTGCAGTATCAAGCGCTCGAGATGCAAATCCACACGCTCACGCAAAAGTATGCGATTCGTGAAACAGAGCTGCAGGTGCTGCTACAGCACGCGACGCACAGCTCGCAAGTTGAAATCATGCTCATGCAGCAGCGCCACGAGCGTGCGATGGCGCTCAAGTGCGCAGAGATTGCGACCTTTCAAGGCCAGGTATGCCCGTTGAACTTGGCTATTTTGTTGCTAACGCCGCCTTCTCGGCGGCATCTAGTTGGACGAGATGCTGGAAGAGCTCCGCCGCCTGCAACAACACCCGTAGCCCCCAACGATGGTAAAAAACGCTGTCTCGTCTTTCCACGTTATGCGCACTATCTGTCCAGCTTGACCTCGGTCAGCTCGACGTCAACTTCCTCATCGTCGCCATCGTCGTGGTCGATGGTGAAGATCGCAGGGTCCTTCTTCTCGTGGCTCGGGTACTTGGGCGTGTCGGCTTTGTCCCCTTCCAGCTCGCAGTACTTGGACTTGATGCTGCGGGTGTGGCGCTTCACATAGACGATGGCACCGCACACGAGGACGAGTGACGCGACCAATGACGCGATCGACACTGTGAGAAGCGAATTCATGCTGGCTCGGGAAGGGCCGTCGGACGTGTTGTCCGTCTGCGCCACCACCGACGGCATCGGCACACCACCGTCCTTGAGAGCATCCTCGACGTTCAGGAGGAGCTGGCTGAGCACTGGAAAGTTGGGACTACCCAGGCCGGATGCGGCATCCCATCCGCTTTCGGCGTGAAACGCAAAGTCGCACACAGGCTTCCCCGAGCCCATCCCGGCGGCATTCGTCCCGATTGTAATGTCGTTGAATGCGAGGGGGTATCGCTGTTGCAGCAAGTACAGCGTCGGGTTGAGGAACCCCAAGGGAGGCTTGCCTGCGGGGACTCAGTACCAACGGGGGCGCTGAAGAGGTCGTGCGTCGTACCGGCATTCAATCGGAGGTCATTCACGAGGGTAATCATGGCCGCAAACACTGGAGACGACGCTGACGTCCCCGATACGAGACCTGTAGCGCCATTGAGCATCACTTGATAGTTGTTGCCGAACGCGGTCACATCGGGATACGCTCGGCCAGACGCATTGAAGAAGTCCTGCCCACCTTGTCACGTGCATGATGTCGATCGAGTGCCCTACCGATGGAGGAAGGTTCTTGGTCGCCAAGAAGCTCTGCACGGCGGCCTCTTGGTACTTTGGCCGGTCGTACCGGTTCGAGAACCCTCCGCCAGAGGTGATGGGCGACCCGAGCTGGCTCGAGCACACCACTTCGTCCAACGTGTCAAAGAATCCCGACGGACCTGTCGACTTGGACAACATGGTCGCGCCCACCGACGTCAAGTACGGGCTGCTTGTCGGCCACTGCGGGCCATGCTCCTTGCACCACGCCGCTTTGTCATGGGCATCCGTCTTATGGAGATCCGGGCTTTGGCCCTACAGAGCGACATCACGCCACGTCATCACTGCGACGAACGTACTGCAACGCCGTCGTCTCCGCTCGCCATGAAGACCGACACACCGCGCGCGCCCAACTTCATCAAGAGCGGATCGAAGCTGCGCGCGTATGCCTCGGACGCGGCGAATATGTGGTCTTCATCGTCCGAGTACGACAGCGACACGACAAATGGCGGCTTCTTCATCGTGAGTACCTCTTCAGCCCACTCGACGAACGGCTCGTCGGATTCCGAGAATGGGTTCGATCCCGGCTGAGACCAGACATACGTCGTCGTGCGAGGCGCGATCGCTGTGATGTACTGGAGATCAAGCGATGCTTCGCCTGTTGCCCGTCCCTTTGTATCGTCGCGCGATGCCACCTACAACCACCCTCCATCCCGCGTGAGATCGTTTGCAGACCAAATGCAGTGCCACCACATCCATACATGATGCGTCACCAGAGTCGGCATGGCCTCGCCGTCCATAAACGTGTTAAAGAACATGGACAAGTCCTTGTCCGTCCATGCTTCGTCGTAGAACTCGGGGATTCCCTGGGCGTTTGTCTCGTTCGCGTTGGTTTGCTTCGGGATGCGGTACCATTCACGGAGAAAGGCGGGCGTGGCTCCGGCACCAGCGCGCACGGTGTCGATGACGCCATTGCTGCTTGTTGACCTCTTGCTCTTTTTGCCGATATTTGACATGTCGCTATTCTGCTCGCCATGGCGCTGCGCAGTCAACGACCGACCGATCGGGTGTGAGTTCAAACTGATATACGAAACGTCGTCAAGGATATTGCTTGGGATGGTCAGGGGCTGAGACGCACGAAGAATACGCTGGTGAACCCATCGAGCATTGTCGCTGCGTTCAACGCTGTCGTAGGCATGGATTTCGGTGCGGAACGCGGCCTCCAGTGCTCGGACGCTGCCACGGACCTGTCATGAAGGCATGATGGGACAGACAGTGACGGATTCCACAAACCTTGAGTCGGTTTGTTGCGGGAGAGAATGAAACGTCTTCGACATCGTGCTGGGACAACCAACGACGGATTGAAGGCAGCGCAACTTTTCGAGGACTAGTCAACGCGTCTGCCTCGTCCGCAGTCAAGTGGCGGCCGTACATGCCATTCCTAGCTTCAGAGTGAATACCTGGATCAAGTAGTCGCGAATCTTGTGTACGTGGGATCCGAAATATTCCAAAACGCGTCCTCGAGCGCACGCGGACTAGCGGCAGTGACGCCAATCGTCACATCAATTTGTGCATCACGAAGAGCGCGATGTCCCTTCGTCCAGAGTGCAGGGTGCTCCACAAACGCCTTGAGCACGGGATGTTTATCATGCGCAGATGTTTCCACGGCGAGCAGCACGACGACGGCAATCGCGCCACGAAACGCGATGTCCCGATGCAGCCGCATGTTCAGGTCGCTAGAATGTCGAAAGTGGGAGGTTGGCAATTTTCGCTTTCGATGAAATTTAAAATTCATCTGAAAATTTGTATGAAATTTGAATACAGTAACGTATATCTGTGACACACAACGACATTGACATCGACACCATCGCTTCTCCCGCGCGATGACGCACCGCTCTTGCCTCTGCCGGCGTTGCCCGCCTTGCCATGCAGTCGCGAACTCAACACAAGAACGTGTTGGGCTGCATGACATCCTTATCGGGTTGTGGTGTGTGTAATTAGGTCAGCGGTCTGCCACGGAATGTCAGGACGATTCCCGCAAATGTTGTCTTGGAGGTCGCATTCGCGTGAGCCCAGTGGGTACTTCCAACCTGTGCTCCTTGGCATTAGATGAGCAGTGTATGCCGACCTAGCAGGCGTCAAGGTGGTGCCTTGATCGGGCCGTGAACCACTCGACCCGAGTGCCGCGCGGCGTTGGATGTCCATTCCTCCATGGACAACGTGGACAATTTGAAACCACGTTTAAACATTTCCGTGCAAAAAAAACGTGCGTGCATTCTGCCGCCTCCTTTGCAGCAACTCGAGCTGACACACACATGTCAACTATTGCCGTCAACGTGTATATATAAGCCCGACTTGCTGCTTCGCACGATCAGGTTCGTCTCCTATGCTGGAACTCCCCTGTAGGTCCATGGGAAGGACGGGCTACTTACCAACTTGTGAATTTAACGTGTTTAACCGAGATGCGTTTTATGGTCTATTTCGCGACAACATCGTGTACCATCTGGCGCTCTCCCCTGCCGTGCCCTGCCGAGCAGAGGAAGCACAACGGAACGCTACTCCGTGAACGGTATTGACGACCGTCCGCACCACCGCCGCCACTCGCTGACGTCGACCTACGTAGCCACGAAGCGAACCCTCTCCATTCTTTGCTGAGATTCACTTGCCCAGTTCATGTCGGAATCGCCCACAGGAGGTGCGCTGTCGCAGTCCCAGTTCATTGCGACCAACCTGGGCTTCAAGGCCAGCGGACAAGGCATGCTCGCGTGCGACTTCGACTCGGTCGCTCCCAAGTTCCAGCCCAAGTACATGAACCACCACGCCTGTAGCAACAACCCTGTGATTCCATCCGACGAGGTCGTGCCTCTTGAAGCTCTCACCGTCGACGAAGACGACGAGTCGGACGATCCCCCGCGGGAAGTCCATTTCCCAGACCCGGAGTACTGTATCAACCACGTGTCTGGGTTTCTCTGCGACCGTGTCACCGGCGCGCGCATCATGGACTCGGCGATTCTCAACTCCGAAGCGATGTTGACCAACGTCATCGCGTACGTGCACGCGCGCATGAGCGTCGAACTCGGCTTTGTCCAACATTCGATCCCGTATGCCGGGGCACCTGCGTCCTGCCAGTTCTTCGCGTCAAAGAACTACAGCGTGACGAAGAAGCTGCTCGTGTTCGTATGCAGTTCGCGCGGGTCGACGTGCGGCATCTGGAGCCGCAGCCTGCTGCTCCGTTCCGGTGTCAACGTCGGCAGCATGCTTCCGTATTTTCGCAAGGCCCTCGACAAAGGCTTTGGTGTCGTCGTGCTCAATCCAAACGTCAACTCGGTCGTCGTCCCAGAGTCGAACGCAAAGGTCGCGATCCCGAGCTCCTCGACCCCCGAAGAGCACATCCAGCATGTGTGGGAAAACTATATCTATCCCAGCGCCGCGCTCGAAATCCACTTTCTCGCGTACGGCTATGGTGGCGTCCTTGTGTCCAACTTGATATTCAACCCGACTGTGATGGCGAACCTGCAGCCCCGCCTCGGCAATCTGGGTTTCCTCGAGTGCCAGACCAGCAACAAGTGCCCTCCCGACCTCCAGCACTTCATCGGGCCTCGGTGGGTGAGCTGGGAGCCGTCCAACGACACGGGCTTCGGGAAAGAAATCCGTCGCGGGCCAACGCACGCGAGCACGGTCGGCATCACGATGTCGGCCGGGCCGAAGAGCGGTAGCAGCTCCGTCACACAGACCGTGCTGGACTCGGTGTTTCGGTTCTTCGACGCTCCGAACGCACATGACTTTGTGCGGACCGAAGCGCGGTGGCACAACGTAAACGTTGTCGACAAGTTTTTGAATCGCAACCACGTCCCTGGGCGCACCGTCCCGGTCAAGAAGTCGTCCATGACCGTCGACGACTTTGACCTCCTCAAGGTGCTCGGCAAAGGCGCGTTCGGAAAGGTGTTGCTCGTCCGCCGCAAATCCACGGGCGCCACGTACGCGATGAAGGTGCTCAAGAAGGAGCACGTCGTCGCCAAGTCCCAAGTCGAGCACACACGGACCGAGCGCAAGCTGCTGCAAGACATTGACCACCCGTTCATCGTGCGGCTCCGGTACGCCTTTCAAAACAGCGGAAGTTTGTACCTCGTGATGGACTACTACGCGGGCGGCACGTTGTTTCACATCCTGCGCCAGCAGCGGCGATTCAAGGAGCACCAGGCAAAATTGTACGGCGCGCAGCTCGTCCTGGCCTTCACGCACTTGCACTCGTGCGACATTGTATTTCGCGACCTCAAGCTCGAAAACATATTGATGGACAGCGAGGGGTTCATTGCACTGGCCGACTTTGGGCTGAGTAAGGAACACGTAAAGCTCGAGCATGACGCGATGACGTTTTGCGGGACCCCAGAGTACCTTGCGCCGGAGCTGCTGCGTCGCAAGCCGTACGGGAAGGTCGTCGACTGGTGGAGCTTTGGCATTGTCATGTACGAAATGCTGAGCGGCAGCACGCCGTTCTACAACACGAACCGGAAAAAGAACTTTTACAACATCTTGCACGAGCCCCTGGACTTGTCGTCCAAGTATTTCTCCGACGCGGCACGGTCCCTCCTTCGCGGCCTCCTCACGCGCAAGCCGCACCTTCGCCTCGGGTTCCACGGCGGTACCGAAGTCATGGCGCACCCGTTCTTTGCCGACGTCCCATGGGACAAAGTGTACAAGCGCCAGGTCCTCCCATCCTTTGTGCCAAACATCGTGGCGCCCCCTCGACCGAGCGAACTCGATGACATCCCTAGCTCGGTCAAGAATGGCGCCGACTACACCATGCCCGACGATCACGTTGACGCGTTTGCCAATTTTACGTACCGATGCACAGAACAGATCGACAACGTCCGACCGAGCGACATTCACCAGCATGCCCAGACTCACCATTTTTAATTCAATGTGCGCATCATCCCCGCATCGCTCCTGTCCCTCTCACCAAGCTCGCATGGCGCATTCATAGCCCACATGGACTACCGACTAGCTGCATGCTGGTTCTTTCTACTCACGAGGCGTGGTCAGTGTGGCAATGCACCACCGGGGAGCATTCAGAAAGCGTCCGCAAAACGTCACCCACAGCGTCCTTTCATCCATCAGAAAGTAGGCGTTGGATAGGGTGGGTCGGTGTCGCCCTCGAGAGAAAGCTGTGGGGGCAATGGACGCGCGTTGAGTTATCGTGTGTCTCGAGTCGATCGAGGTGGCGACTCTATTGCCACAACTTGCGCGGCTTCATGTGAAAGTTCTCGTAGAGCCGCATGAGGTTCCGTTCAAGCATGGCGACAGTGACCTTGCCCACCAACGGGACGTACGTGACATTTGGGATCTACCGTCCATCAGTTCGTCGAAATTTGTCAGTCGAGGGCAGTCTGTACCTTGAGCAGCGCTTCTTCGTCCACGTTCTTGTACGACGCCACGTTAATCACGACTGTGCCTTCCGACACCCACTCCAACGGGAGCTTGTAGCTCTTCACCGGCACACCCGTGATGATCACGTCCGACTTGCGGCATGCCGACTCGGGGGTTTCGTCCGTCTGAAGAGATTCGTCAGACATTGCAACATGGGGCAGCAATGGACAGAGAGAGGGACACATGACGCACTTCAATCAATTTGCCACGGCGGAACAAGTACAACGAGCTGATGTCGACGCTGAACACGTCGGCACCGTCATTCGCAAGCATGGCAGCCAAGGGACGCCCGACGATGTCGCTTCGGTTGATGATGGTGATGCGACGTCCGAGCAAATGCTCGCCTTCTGGTTGCCTACGACAAGATGAACGTGAAAGTCGAGGTCGACGGACACGATGTTGTCGGACCCAAAGTTGTAAATGTTGAGATGCTCCAAAATCTTGATAATGGCGAGGGGCGTGCACGGCAGCACGCACTTCTGCGTGCGCTCGTCGTCGACGTAGCGGATGTTGCGGTACAAGTTGGATCGGTAAAAGTGGCACAACCCTTCCACGTCCTTCTTGATCGAGATGCTGTCGCGAATGAAATCGTCCATAGTACCACCGTAGAACGACGGAAACGAGCCAAAGCACGGGTAGTAGACAAGAATTCCATGCACTTCCGGGTCTCGGTTGGCGTCTTCCACAGCTTCTTGCAAGAACTCCTTTTGGACTTCGCGCAATTCGTAGCGGATGCCGTCGCGAATGCACGCTTTCCCTGTCCACTCGGCGTACTTGCGTGCGGACGCATCGTCGTTGGCCAAGAAGCCCACGAGCTTGGGGCCCATGCCGTGGAGTTCCTTGTTCACGTACTCCTTCATCGCTTCGCAGAAAGGCGCGGCAACGGCACCAGCGTCCAGCTTCATGACGTCCTCTCCCGCAGCGAATTCGTTAATGCGTTCGTTTCGCGTTGGCTCGATCCTCGCTTCCTTTTGGTTGGCTGTTCCTATTTTCTTTCAACCAATCCCATGCGCTCGTTATCCGAACGAATGGTGGCATGCCCTCGATCAAGACACTGGACTTCGGCGACTTCATCTGCCCGCAGCTCAAAAGCGACTCGCTTGTCCTCGTAGCAGGGTGTAGTCCAATGCACCGAGCACAGGGCATCCATGCCCCCGGTCGTTGAGAACAAAACGTTGCGTTGTTGCCTTCCCTTGGTCAAACCGACCCCAGTGGAGCAGGCTACACCATTTGCGGTTGACAGGCATGGCGCGAACGCCGACCCGTGTCCATGTTCACTTGTAACGCAAGAGCCCCGGGGCCATTGCCTCGTCGCGGCTACCATCCATGTCGAGCTGCCGCCGTCTTGGCGCCGCGACGCCGCTTCATGCGAATTTCCGTATATCTCGCGACGTATCCGGATCGCCGAACGGAAAATAAAAGAACCCTCGCCCAATTTTTGCTACAAAAATCAAGTGGTCGATGCGAAATAAAATAAAAAGAGGGTGGGGTCGTGATTGGTGGACGATTATTGGTTGGGGAGAAGACTGGTTGGCTGGCTGACACGGCATTTCCCTCGACTCAATTTGGGTTTGCATTTCCTCAACACAAGAAACCAAGGTATGTGGATGGCGTCTGTGTATGCATGTGGCGTCGACGGACGCTGGACGGGCGTGGATCGGAAGGGGCGGACGTGTGTCTTGTGCATGTGTGTGCGAGAATGGATTCCACAGGCGAAAAACGACGACAAACAGGGCCTTGACGAGCTTGCTTGTTTGCGTGATGCAGGACACATGCTCATGGAGCGCCGTGCTGTCCGTAGATGAGCAACGATACCTTGACGTGGTTGTTGACCAAGAACAACAACGCCTTTTTGGTGAAGGGTGTCCAACCCAACAACGACTTTTCGCGCTCCAAGTTCAACTTGATGAACCGCCACTGCCGCAAGTACGACGGTTTGTCCGCCAACAAGGCCGTGGGCATCTCGTTGAACGACAAGAAGGTCGTGTTGGCGACCAAGATCGCCAAGAACGCCAAGTTCCCCGTCAAGAGCGTCAACACTGTCCCCTTGAACAAGGGTTTCCGCGCCAACGCATACACGATCCGCGCCGAAATCTCCCGCAACTTTTACCGCGGTGACTTGAAGCGCGCCGCGCTTGCCCGATGGACTCAACTGAACCGCGTCGCCAAGATCGAAAAGGGCGTGCTCAAGAAGACTGTTGCCAAGACCAAGCGCAACCAATTCAAGGCTTAAAGTGTGCTGGCCATCTAATCTTTGCATCGGTTTCTTGAAATGCAGCGAATTCCACGCATCTGTGTCTTGCTCCCCCTTTCTCGCTTCCGTGGTTGAGCGTAACTCTCGAAATGCAAGTTTAGGATTCGTACGCTTGTCGCGGTCACCTTTGGGCATCGGGTTTTCGCGGCATCTCCGGTCGATCCGCCGAGGTCGACGTCCCGAAAAAGCTCCTGGTGACCCTCTCTGGTCTTCCCAGAGCACACACAGTGCTGGAAAGGGGCGAGACAGTTGTGCGCATGTACAATCGAGGCCGAGAGGGATGAAAGAGAAGTCGAACAATGCGCTCGAAAACTCGATGCGGGCTATAAATACTCGCAGAAAGGGACTCCGCTGGTCTGCGTCGGCACCACTCGTGTTGGCCCGATGCTGGTACTACGATGCTGCCACGACATGTATGAGCTCAAGAGTGGCGAGAACCTTGTCGGAACTGACGAATCCAAGTGTCATGTGGTAATCCACTTCACGAACGCCTCTCTTGTTTGATTTTGGATGGGTTTCAAAAGGTGCTCCACGCAGCCAACCAAGCGGAGCCCATCCATGCAATCATCGACGTGACCAAGAGCATGCAGGACGCCGTCGTGCGGCCTCTTGGCCGCGTGCTTGTGAACAGCACCCGCGTGACGACACCCACATCGTTGGCGATGGGGGATGTGGTGTCGTTTGGAGCTGGCGAGGCGTCGTCGTTCAAGTGAGCCATGAGTTGATTCCCGCGGAGTCATCATCGCGACAATGGCTAGATTCGACGCATTGGTGACACACACAGTGGCCGCGTCCATCGAAGCGCGGAATCGAACGAAAGCGATGCTGACCGAGCTCAAACACGTGGAGGTACCTGAGCGCAGTAGACATGGCGACGTCCAGGTGCTGGGCGATATTCCGTACATGAACGACGTGTTTGTGTCGGCGCAGTTGCTCGACTCGGCGAAGCAGTGGGTGCTCCCAGCAGACCGAAGCCTCGTGCTCATGTTGGAACGGTAGGAAGAACCAGAGCTTTGATATTGACAGCGACGACAGCGACGACGATGGCCCTGAATCAAAGACGGCCGGGGCTGCATGTGACGTCAAGCAGAACAAGCAAGGTTTGAATCGCAGAGCGACGAAGCGCACCGTGACTGTGGCGCTGATGCGACCGAACATTGCAACACTTTCGAGGGACATAGGCCTTCCTGAGGCTTCCCTGCAAGCCCGCCACGAAATGGAGAGAATCGAGTGGCAAAAGGAATTGAGTGCTGTCAAGCACGAAATCGACCGATTGCACGGGCTCCAACAAAAGCCTCGCACGTGTGAAGCGAGTACTCAATGCCATATCACTGAAGAAGCACGTCCAAGGTCCAGCGACCCAACGTACACCAACAATCGCAAGATTCAAATCACCAAGCGATCGGCGTCAACGTGGCTATCCGACGCCATACTAGGCAGGGAATGGTCCTTTGGTGCAAGGCATGCAGCCGTGGTGGTGTGTGTGGCGTTCGTCACATGCAAAGGTGCATTGAGCCTACTGCCGCCAGGACTTCCGTTCACGTGTCTTGTATAGGGGCATGGAGAGCGATGAAGAGAGCATAGATGCACGTGTTCCGTTAGGAATGCTTTGCGAAGCGGCGGGGCTACGCGGCCCGAGCGGGACGAGTCCTGCGGGTCGCCATTTTCCCTTCAACATGCTGACAGCGATGCCATTGGTCCAGCTTCGGCCAATCAGTGCCCGAGAAGCGATTCCATAACCGGATTGACCCATTTCCAATAAATTACATACCATACACAAGTAATCCATCATCTATTTTGAAAAGGAATTATCCGGACAGGATTTCTTCGTGTCTTCTCGCGACGAAAGGTGCCCACACGACGACACCATGCCTGTGTTGGTGTACCTGGGCGAAGAGCACGAGCTGAAGGAAGGCCGCAACGTCATTGGGAAGCTCAAGGCGTCATGTAATGTGGTATGTCGTCTCCTTTGCAGTCGCGCCGCGCCGTTGTGCTTCACCAAGTGTGTTTGTGCAGATGTTGGAAGGAGCATCGGTTGCAGACACCCATGCAGTGCTGGAGTTGATTCAAGACGGCGTACGATTCACCGCAATCATTTTTCCGCACTACGACGGCATATTGTCTCTGTTCTAGGCAATCCTCACGGACTTGGACTCTCCATTCGGCACATTCTTCAACGGAGTGAGAATAACACAGCCGCAACGAGTTGTTCATGGCGATACCATCAAGTTTGGTGATGCAGGGCACGAATACAAGTATGTGCATTCGATGATTTCATTGCGTGATGCGTGGGTAGATTCGACATGACTTTGGCGCCTTCCGTGGACAAATCGATCGCGAGCTCCTTCCGCGACTCCCTTGCTCCCACGTTCAGCAACAGCGACGCCGCGGCAATGACGTCGCAGAAAGGACAAGCGCCGCCCGTTCGAAAATCCAACGTTTTTGCGTCCTATCTAGACGAACGATCCACGGATGCCGCATTGCGGGACATGGTTGAACGGCAGCTCCATCGTCGTTCACTCTCCAAGTCGATCCCCACCAACTCCAAGAAGGTTCCGCCTCTGTCGCCCTCCCAACGCAACTTCATCGAGCGGCAGAAGCTACGACTATCTCAAAAGATACGAGACATCAACAGCGTACGCTATGCCCCCCAAATCATGGCCGACATGTCCCCGACTGATCGGTTCGCCAGGTCATGCTGGGGCACACTGCAATCAGCGACACGTACCTGGCATCGTGGACCACGAGTGGCCCAGGGTAAGTCCAACTCACTCTTGTTCGTCCTTTGCTTTTCATGTGACATCGCTATGGCTCTTTTGCTGGAGCACTCGTTTGGTTGTACCTGTCGACGTGACTTGCAGGCACCCTGGCGACGACCCGTTCGACGATGACGACTTGCCAGAAACCTCGGAGAAGGCCCCTCTCGTGATCGCACCAACGAAGAAGTCTCCCTCACCTGTCGTGATACGTGCTCCAGCCGCGACTCCACCTGTCGAAGACATGAACGAGAGCGACGATGACGACTTGCCAGAGACTGTCGAGCAACGACCGCCCCCTGCGTTTGACGCTGCCTCCACTCCTGCCGTCGCGTTTAGGAAACCTCGACGGTCGGGCTCGGCCCAGCGGCGCATCGACGTTTTGATTCAGTCCCGCCGCGTGAAGGCGCTGGCCCAAGCATGGAACGCATGGCGACAAGCACTCGAAGTACGACAACGTGCCGACCAGCAACGCCAGCAACGCGCTGCGGCCACACGAATTCAAAGGTTTGTCCATGGTGTCGCGCTGCGGCAGCGCATTGCACGTCATGTCGAGCAACGATGCAAGCATCGGGAGCAATGTGCCCATGTGTCTCGGGTTGTGCAGCTCTTCCAACGGCAGTGCTTTCGATTCACGATGGCGCGGTGGCGCTCGCATGGCATCGAGTGCGTTGTGACCAAGCTGCACGACCGCCTTGTGGACCGATGCATCCGCCGCGACGCTGTCACAAGGACGTTTCGGCAGTGGAAATCGGCATGGGTACGGTCGTCCGGCCGACAGACGACGTTGTCACGGGTTCTGCACCACTCTCTATCGCGGACAAAGCTCCGAGCGCTCTTGGCATGGCGAGTGTGGCGGCTGGAAACCGAAGCACACGCCGCACTTGCCAAAGCACACGACGAACACGCCAAGCAGAAACTGTTGGTCCAAGCCATGGCAGCGCAGTCCCAAGCAGAAGCTACGTACGATATCGGCGTGTCAGGAATAAATCGGGCAAGCGCTCATGCGGTCGTAGGGCATGGAGCGACCAAGCCAAAGAGACGGCCCAGCACGTCCAGCGTGAGGCGGCACTGAAAGCGCAAGTGGCTGCCTTGACGGATCAAGTGGACGCGTGGAAAACGATCCGCAAGGCCGATGTCGCAGTGCAGACCGACTCGAACGCGAACGCGCGCGCCGCGCTGTTGTCGCATACCCTGCTCAAGACTGTCGTCGGCGAGATGAAGGAGAAAAATCTTCGCGCGGTAATTGACAGCTTGGAGGGCGACTTGACTGCGTCCCAAGAGCGCGAGACAAGGTACCGCTCTCCTGGGTGCTTTCAATTCGTTCAGATACGCCCATGGCGGCACGGGCTGAGATGTGCAGACTCTGACACGTAAACGGGTGCGTAGGCTTCGAGACGAGTACAAGCAGCTCTTGGAGACGATGGTGCGGCATGCATCGCAGCTGGACGATGCGCAGAAAGCCGCCAAGGACCACCAAAACATAATCGACGACCAGGCAAAGGCTCTTGCTGCGTACGAGTCGTTCAACGTTGCCGAGTGGTCACGTTTCTTGGGTTGCAGGATGGAAGCAGCGCATGAAAGCGCAAAGCAAGCCGCGCTCGACAAAGAAGCGTCGCTGACGAAGCGACTCGACGAGTTGCGGACAGCGACGGCAGATCTCCAACGACGCGAGGACGTGAAAAAGACGATGGAATCGACGTACGATACCAATCGCTACGTGCATGACACTTGCGAGTTCTTTCATATCGTCCCTCGTCGCCCAGGACGCAACAACAGGCGATTGCGCTGATGGAAGATGCGGGCAAGCGAGAAGCAGCCTTGAAAGCACAGGTCGACGTGTTGGAGAGTGCGGCGCGGAAGCGAGAGGCCGACCAGTTCAAGCTGGTCCTCGCCCACGACGTTGAGACCAAGGCGCTGGCAGACCAGTGTCGTCAGCTTGAAGCTACAGTGGCCAAGTTGCAAGCCGAGCGTGCATTGCCCCGTGAAGCGCCCGCCCCACGTTTTGAGCAGCCATCGACTCCACCATCGTCCCCCCACCCAAATGCTGCGTACGTGTCTAGGCTCGGCCTTTGTGGCTGACCTGTCGGTGGTAGCTTGGAGCAAGAGCTGGAGACGTACAAGAAGATGTTGGAACTTGCAGACATGAAGTTGAAGGCGGCGACAACCCAACTCGACGCGAAACACGCCGCGGAGCGGGCCATTGTCAAGGCCGAGGTCTCCAGCGAGTGGAGGCGCATCTCATTCGTACTATATGAACTAGATGCAAGCTCACATGCAGTTCAACGCACACGTCGAGACATTTCTAGAGGCCCTTGTGACCAAGGTATGATGCGAGTGCATCCTTGTCGATGGCGCTGACGTATGTGTGGCGCAGTACGACGTCCGCCTCTTGCGCGTGGGTGGAGAGCTGGACGTGCTCATGGCACATGGCGAACATGACGCCAAGGGGGCGCAGTTTCGTGCCGCTTCGGTGGAGTTTGCTGTTGCCATGCTGGCGCCCTCTCACGGACGCGCCATCATCGACGTAGAACCTCGTGGGGTATGCCCAAGAAGAGCGATTGATGCACTTCCAAGACCTGAGCGAGATCCACGACCACCTGCTTGGGCTGCGCCGGCTTGCCATCCTCCACGCCACCAGTCCGCCATCCACGATGGCCATGCACACCATGTCGTTGAGTCCGAACGGCACATTCTTATACGACATGCTCGTCCAGGTTTGTTGTTGCGTTGGGCGGCGCGTCCTTTCACCAACAAGAATCGCGGTAGCGCTTGAATCGGCTGCATCAACTGCATGACAGCATGGCTGTCCAAGCAGCCACGTTGACAGGCGGGAACCACGACACCAAGAAACTCGAATACGCCAAGGTACCCCTCCTCTCGTCCGCATGCATGCCACCACGTTCTGCGTAGTTTTTGGCCCAGACCATGTACTCGCGACAGGTGGCGTTTGTCGATGAAGCGTCGGCCGCGCTCTTGCACATAGCTCGCTTGCAGGCGCATCTCGACGGCATCGCATAACATGACGTCGGTTTCATGTCGGTTTTGGTTGTAACTGCCGCCACCGTTGGGCATATTCCGCCACCGCGCGCAGGCATGCTGCAGCAGTCCGCGAAAAAGGATGCGAGCACCGCACTCGAGCTGCTCTTTGTCTCGACAGTCGGCCTATCCCTGCGACAACGACCAGCAAAGCCACTGGCGTTGACCGCTTCACAGTCGTCAGCAGACGTCCCGATCGATGTCCGCGCGTGCCAGCGGCAGTTGGCTGCGTTTGATCTCGCGCTGGCAGACAAGACCTCGATCGCCCCACACGAGCGCCAGGACCTGCTCGCTCTGGAGGATGCAGCGACCACAATGCCATCTACCAAGCACCAGCCCACGACGGGTCTTGCTACCGACGATTCGAAAGCGTCGTTGGCGGCATCCGCATCGACAGCCTCGGTGGGGAGTCACCATGGCACGGACGGCAAACTCGGCGCGGCGTCGTCCAAGGGATCCTTGCCGCCGTCGAAAAGCGACGCGTCCGTCGCCGCCGACTCGTCCAAAGACACGCCAAGCGCCGACAACAGCGACACCAGCCCTCCCGTGTACATTCGAAGCAACCTCCACGAGCACCACTCCGACATCGACGCATGCTCGCTCGACTGGTGCGCCGAGCTCGCCGAGATCGTCCTTGCCGCCGAGACCGCTGTCTCCAACCACGACCGGTCGACGCTGTGCAAGATGGTGCACAACCTTCGCCTCACCAAGCTCGCAATCGATCGAATCGACGACGCGTTTGGAAGCGAGTGCAGTCTGTTGGAGCGGTTGGATGTCAGCGACAACGTGCTCACAACACTTGGCCATCTTCCGCCGACGATCGTTGAAGTCGACGCGTACAATAACCAGCTCGACGCTGTCGGTGCAGCTTCCCCGACACCTTGTCTGGTGCACCTCGGGCTCGGCCTCAACCGATTCACGTCGCTCCCGACGCTTTCGCATCCACAAACGCTGCTGTCCCTCGATTTGTCGTACAATCACATTACGCAATTGCCCCACGTACTCGCTGGCCTTGACGTATTCCACGGCCTGCGCCATCTCTTCCTCATGGGCAACCCCGTTGCGCTGTGTCGGGGGTACCGGCAAGCGCTCCTCGCCGGCCATCCCAACCTGTACGTCCTGGACGACATCGCTGTTGGAGACAGAGAGAAGGACGCACTCGGTCAAGCACCGGCCGTTGCCGTCGACACCGCGGCGGACTTGACTGTGCATGTGACGGCGGTTGGGTTTCCAGTGCGCAAGCCATCGACAGACCCCACGGCACCGACGGTGACCTACGAAGCCACGGTCGACGTAAGCCCACGACTCGTCCGCATTGCCATGAAAGAAGAAGGCCCGAAACCAGATCAGCCACATGGGCATCCCCCTGGCGCACTCTTCTTCGAGTCGACGCGCGTCCCGGTCGTAGTGTCGCGGGAGCTGCGAGACAGCATCCAGTGTACGTATTGCCATGCCACATCCAGAGACTGTGAACAGTATTTGTGTATGGCACTCGCGCAGTTCGCCCTGTCGAGGTGCGCATCTTCGAAGTGCACACACCTCCGCAGGCAGCAGCGACACCTCCTGGCACGACGTCCGGTCAACCCGCCGACGATCGACCTCCAGGTACGCGGCGCTGCCGATCGCGTGGTCCTGACCCACAGATATAGTGCACGAGCTGCGCGCGTCGGTGAATGTGGACGTTGGTTTGTTCTTGAAGCCAAGCCCTTTGGAACACCGACTGGGTGAGGTATGGTCGATGGCTTCAGCGAAGCAGTGACCTCACACACCACAATCCAGCTTACTGTTTCCAAGACAATCCAGTGCATCGCTCTCAAGAGCGTGGCGGTGGCGCCCACCGTGCCAGAAGTGGTTGTACTTCCCGCGAAAGGAGGCGACAAGGGCGCGCCACCACCCGAACCTGTTGTCCACGACACTGAGATCACCCTCACTGTCAAGTTGGTCATGAACGAGACCGACAGGATTCGACCGAGCACTTCACGCGACCACATAGGCTCCAAATCCAAAGAGCGTGGGCGCCATTAACACGAATGTCGTCGTGTCTCGCCCCACGGTTCTGCATCTTCCCTTGGCATGGACTCGCGCGGGGATGATGGCGGCTTCCCTCTGAAAATTAATATCTAGTGATTACGCAAAACGAGGTGGAAGTACAAATTCTGGGGATACATTGCCATCGCATCATCGTGATGGACGACGACCGGAAGCGAGGAATCGGTGAACCTGCGACGGACGGACAGCCTTCTGGCGAGTCGAAAAGGATAAAGCGCGATGAATCCAGTCGAAGTGGCAGCACCACCGCCAGTCGAAACCACGAGCCGTCGCCGCACGCGAACGACGACGGCGATGACGCCACCGCGACAGACAAACAGGTCCGCGAGCGCAACGCGGCATTACGGGAAGCCCTCGTGGAGAAGAACCGCCGCATTCAATTCCTAGAGACCAAGTGCAGCGAACTGTTTGGCCATCGCCACGCCATCCATGCTCGTCTTCAAACCGTGCTCAACCACTGGACGATCTTGCTCAAAGCCCTCCACACTCTACTCCCTAGTACGTTCCCTTCAACAATCCATGCATAAACCTTCCATGTCATGCAGACAACTCGTCTAAAGATATCGACAAAGACATTAAAACGTCATGGGGGGTCATTGCCCCGCCAGCGTCGCTGCCGGAAGGCATCCAGTGCGAGATCGATGCCTGGTTCCTCACTGGTACAGAACCCGCGGCGCCGTCTTCGACCTCCGACGACGATGACGTCACGAGCGCCTTGACAAGCGAGATCGATCTGGTCAAGTCGTGGGTCGCCACTCTCCTCGACAAAACCATCTCATCGGACGCGGAGCGCCGTGCGATTGAAGCGAAGCAAGACGCCGACCGACTAGTGCTGGCCTATCAAGACAAACTTCAAACGGTGAAGCGATGCTGTCCACACACTCTCGAACGAGTGGTGATCTGACTTGTAATCTAGTACAAGCTCCAAGTCCACGAGTTGAGGGCCGACTTAAACAAGAAGGAGCTCGAACGGCACACGGCGTGCCGACGTCTCGACCGCGCGAATGCAAACGCTAGCAACCATTCAAACACAGCGGGCGCTTCTTCTTCGGCCAAGGCCGCAACAGCCTCCGATTCGTCGCACCAGGTAAGGCCGCTTCTCGTTACAACCTAGCGACTACCACTTCTCGACTTCGTGAATTGTCCAGACGGCAGTCGATGCTGTGGCGAAATGGCAGCAAAAGGTGGAGAAAGCTGAGCTCTATGCCAAAGAAGCCGCCGACAAGCTCGAGAAAGCACTGACGGATACCCGCAAGGCGAAAGCATCCGAGCATGCCGTACGACCTCTTCCAGCGCTGTGTTCGACCCAACTCAACACGGATGGCGCTTCCAACTTGTCTCGTAGATGAAGCAGAGCATGGACGCGATGGAAAAGCTGCACGCCGAAACGCTGGACCACCTTCATGAAGAGCTCGTTGCAAGCAAGGACGAGTACCAAAAGCTCAAACACAAGTCCAAAGTACGCTGGATGCTGTTTTTGAGCTGCGTTGTCAACCAATTGATGTGTTGTAGGATATTGAATCGCACGCCCGCGACAAGTGGGAAAAGAAGCTGGCGAAAGTGTCGGCAGAAAGCGCCAAGCTTCGGGCCAAGCTCGACGAAGCTGCTGTCAAGAACGCAGAGCTGCGGCAGCGCGTGGCGACCTACCACACGTTTAAGGACCAGGTACCAATGGCACACATCATGCCGCGATGGCGGCGTCTTTCATCGACGCGATGGGTTGCAGGTGGTCGAGCTGAAGGCGCTCGTGGCATCGCTCGAGGTCGAAGTGGCCACGACAAAGGAGCGACTATCGTTTGCAACGGAAAAGCTGCAAAAAGCAACAGCCGACCGCAAGGGCGACACAGACACCCAGGTGGTTGGCTATCCGTCGTCAGGCATGTGAAGTCACGGATGGTTGCGCTAGGTGGCAGAGCTAATTGAAGGCCATGAGAGCGAGATCGGTGCGCTCGTGGGAGAAGTCGAAGCTGTCGCCAAAGATGCCGAAAGCCTGCGGGCTCAACTCACCAAGACGATGGCCAAAGTCGCCCAGCGGGATGCCACGATCGCCAAGACGAATGCTTCGTTGGCTAAGGCCGAGCAGACCAACGCGTTGTGCTTTGACGAACTGGCCGGCGTTCGTTTGCAAGTGGCTTCACTCACGACGCTCCAGCGCAACCAGAAGGCGCTGGAATCGACCTTACAGGTGCATTCGTCCACCGCGATCGTTCTTTGCGCAAATGTCCCTGAACGTGTGGTTGGCAGGACACGATCAAGCTCAAGGAAGAGGAGCTTGCGACGTTGCGCGACCACGTCAAGGCCGTTGAAAAGCTGAAGGTCGACACAGAGAAAGAACGCATCAAGATGGCGCGCGAGGTCCACCTCGTCAAGCACACGATGCACCTCCAGCAGCCGCGAGACATCCCTGCGCCCGAGGCCAAGCCATGCGAGCAGTGCCAAGTGTACAAGCGCGCCGAGGACGAGCGGAATGAAAAGCTGCGTGTGGTACGAACAGCCATGCATGCACGTGTGTCTCGCTCGTGTGGTGGCATCCGTTGAGAACGACAATGTAGGCGCGGGCAGCGGCGGGAGGCGCCGGCGAAGTGTCGGAGCTCGAGCGCTACGAATTGCTGGAAGCTCGAAAGAAGCTCAATTGCTCCGTGTGCCAGGATGCCCCAAAGGAGGTCATGATCTCCAAGTGCTGCCACATGTTTTGCAAGGAATGCATGGAAAGCAACCTCAAGGCGCGCAACCGAAAGTGCCCGACGTGCAAAAAGATGTTTGGCCAGGACGACGTCAAAGGTGTGTACTGGGCGTAGGAGTCCTTAACCGCGGAGCAAATGCATCCAACGTCGACGTGCGTGAACTCGGATGTGGCTCGTGACAGAGCACGGCCACGTGGAGACCTCGGAGCGCGATGACGGCCACTGAAGTTGGCGCGAACGTTGGCCTCGGCCAGTTCACCCACTAGAAACGAAAGCGCCATGGCGGGACATTATTATCCCGTATGTCATGGGTCTCGCTTCGGAGAGCAATGTGTGTGCAGCGCTCGCTTTCAGCCAGCTCTCGCGGGCAAGGCACGTTGCAACCTCATGGGACAACGGGCCGACGAGCTGTGGCCGCACTGTCGTCCTCGCTACCTGTTGGTTTGTTCAAGATTTGGCCGGCCGAGTCAAAAAATCGGTGAATCTTATGGCTTTGCTCGATCGTTTGGCGGCGCATGCCGCGTTGGATTCACGCTGTGAAGACCGAGACATCGTTGGTCGCGACGACGTCGTCAATGAGGTCGCCAACTTTGTCGTACAGTCCAAACATGCCCCCCGTGTGGATGAAGAGGATGCTCTTGCCCGCAAACTTGTCTGGATGGTCTTGCAAGTCCTTCACGAGCATGTACAGCGCCTTACCAGAGTAGACCGGGTCCAGCAGCACGCCCGTCTCGCGGGCGACCTGCGAGATGTACACGAGCTCGTCCTTGGTGCTGGTGGCATACCCCGCGCCCTGCGCATCCCTACGCGCAATTCAATGCCGACGTGGCAACCGATCGACGTACGTCATTTGGAGGCAGTCCTTGGCCGAAAACGATCTATCTAGAGACCGAACACGATCGCCAACCGCATCGAGTGAGCCGAGCCAGACGAGCAACGATGGTGACCGGAGGACGCATGTACCTGCTGCTGCGACTTTGAACCCCATCTCTGGCAGGATCTTGTTGTCGACGTGATCGTAAAAGTACTTGGGCGAGTCGCATACGATGTAGGCGTGAACTATCAGGGGTCTATGAGGTGGCGACGACGCGCAGCAGTGACGGGGACGGCACGACGGACGTGACTTTGCTCGCCACGAGCCGTGTGCAGGAGCAGTGTACCAGGAGGGGAGGCGAGGCGGTTGAACTGCAGCGAACTGTCCTGGTGGGTCTGCGCATACAAATACGCGCCAACGCCAAGACCGGCCGCCGAGCCACCGCTACCACAGGCGAAAGCAACGTCGGTGACGGTGATGTTGAGGTCCTGTGCACGACGATGAGTCCTTGAGCCCCCAACAGAGGTCGCTTCTCGATTCAGCACTACCTTGAATTGGTGCTCCATCTCTTCAATTGACTCCAGGTATCCCCATGTGCCAAGCCCATTGCTGCCACCGACAGGGATCCCGTACGGCTTGCGGCCTTGCAGGCGCAGTTTCTCGACGGTCTTTTCGATAAAGTAGTCGCCGCCGCCTTGCTTGGCGTACTCGAGTCGGGGCACGAGGATGAGCTCAGAGCCCACTAGGCTATACCACCATGACCAACTCACTAAGGCGGTATGGCAAACCGGTCGATAAGGAGATTGCCGATAAGTCCTGGGTCCGACTCGGTATCGCTCGTCCGCAGGAGCAAGTACGAGTCCAAGCCCAACATGCGCGCGGAAACTGCTGTCGCGCGGCAGTGGTTGCTCTGAACACCTCCACATGTGACGACGCAGTCGGCGCCTTCACGCAAGGCTTCTGCCAGCAAGAATTCGAGTTTTCGGGCCTTGTTACCGGACATCTCCAGGCCGCTGTAATCCTACGACGCTTCCATGAACCACCCAACAAAGCCAGCATGCTAGGTGATCGTTTGCACGCACATCGCGCTTGATGAACATTTGGACGCCTTCAGGCAGTCCAGGTGGCCGGAATGGAAAGATGGGGGTGGGGAAGTTCCCCAGCACGACTCGCTCCGTGGGTGGATTGGTCAGGGCTGCTGCCCACGGCGGCGGTGCGTACGGCACCGTCTTGAGGAACGTATGGTGGCCTGGCATGTAGATGCTGCTGAAGGATGCTCGGGATGAAGTTGATGTCCCCGCGCGTCCAAGGACGGAGATCTTACGAGCGACCAACATGATCGGCAGTTCGTTCTCCGGTAAATGTATCCGGATGACGTACGTCCAGGACCCGTGCAATCTGTACGTACATGTACATTCAAATGTACCGTGGCCACCGTGCCGACCATTCGTTTGTCGAGCGGGCCATTTGGCCGAGGTGGCCCAGAACCAAATTCGGTGGCCATGCCACGAGTTCCTGTCAATAAACGGTCCGAAACACTTCCAACACCATGAAGCTCGTTTTCGAACATTTGCCAGGAAGACGAACGCGGGCGGGAGCCCTCTTGCCTGGGACGTACGCACTTGGCCTTGTCATTGCCACGCGAGACCAAGCTGGTGTCCCCACACCCTTGTTTGACTAGAGCTAGGACGAAGATGGGCGTGATGGTTTATCCTGAGGGACTGAGCAGTGTTGATGACACCTTTCAAGTCCACTTTGCAGTGGCCTGACCCTTGTCTGCATCGCGGTTTGTGTGTGTTCGAGTGCATGTGAGCGTAAATCTACGTCCTTTGCAGGCAAATCTGCCACAGAGAATCGAACTGCGATTTCGATTTACTGCTATTGTCTGCATATAGCAAGCGGTCCCAAATGATAGGAACCCAAGACTATCTGTTGGTCCTTGGAGTCGATTGGTACTCACACTTTTTTTTGGCAAACCACGTTGGACTTAGCCACGCAGAGGGCGACTCGACACACACGCGAGCTAGGCGAATGCATGGCCTTCGCACATGCAAGTGCTATTTAGCGTAGAATGCAGAACCTTGTGCTTCAATGCTTCCGCCTCGACGACGCATTCTTTGTGCGTGCAGTTGTTGATCGAACTCTTGTCTGGATAAATATGCTTCCGCGCTGATGGAGCGCATTCGAGTTGAACTGGCAGTCGAGGGAACCACATGGGTAGCGCCATAATACGAAGGGCTTCACAGGTTGAGAAAATGTCGCACTCAACCTTTTCAAGGAGTCTGGCATGGGAAGGTGGAGAAAAGACCAACCGCGAACTATGTACAAATGCCGAATTGCATCACTACGTACCGGCCAATTCAGCGCAGCCGTTCACAGGAAAAAGCCCACAGCTCCAGCAAAATTGGTCAAGCCCTCCGGCCGTGAAAACTGCGCGCCAGCGGAGGCAATCGAGCAAGTTGCTGTGCATTGCACCGCAGCACCAAGCAACTCAAACCCACAACGCACGCATGCGAGTTACCAGGACAGATCAATTCCGAAAATCGTGGAAAACTCGAAAATTCCTTCCAATTGACAAACAGAAAAATATTTCTTGGGGCATTTGCAAGATCCAATCAAATGCACGTCGAAGTTCGAAGTTCGCATTTGATTGGTCGGTTCGATCGACGTTTGGCCATCCAACAATCCCATCCAAGATTGAACACCGTCATGAACGCGCCCAAGCGAAGCGCGGTCTCCAAGAGTTGGGCGCCGGTGCGCACCCATGCCGGAATTTACACTGGCGGCAAGGTGCAGCTTAGTCCTCAGCGCCCAGGCGTTGAGGCGGGCAAAGTATTTGCGTGCATGCTCCAGGACGACGTGGCAGTCGTGGACGCGTCAAACGGGACCCTGCTGTTCACGTTGCAAGGAGACAAGACGGACGAAGAGAAGGAAGCGATCCTGAGTTTCTCGTTGCGACCAAAGCACAATCACATTGTGACCGCAAGTCGCAACTCGCTCTTGCGTTTGTGGGACCTCGACACGCGTATGTGCATTCGCACGATCAAGACTGCGGACGTGCCGATTCTCTGCATGGACTTCGACCCGACCGGAACGCTTCTTGCCACGGGCGCCAGCGATCGACTTGTCAAGGTCTACGACATTGAAAAGGGCTTTGTCACGCACAACTTTAAGAAACACACGGGCATCGTAACATTGGTCAAATTTCACCCCGACGCCAAGCGGCTGCAGCTCGTGTCGGCCAGCGACGACTCCACCGGTATGTATAGTTGCGCCTCGTTTGCATCGATGCACTGGCTCTCATGCTCTCAATCGAATGGCGCTATTCGTCCCACCAACGACGTCGCGATGACGATTCTAACGAACGCTGTAGTTCGCATATGGGACCTTATCGCGCAGAAAGAAGTCGGGTGCATGAAAGACCACATGAGTCCTGCCACGACCGTCGCGTTTTCCCACGGTACGACACCACGTGGCCATCCGATGCTTCCTTGGCGTGACGCTGGTCGACTCTAGATGGATACACGCTGCTGTCGTCTGGCCGAGATAAAGTCATTAACGTGTGGGATCTGCGCAAGCAAGTTCTGGTCAAGACTGTGCTGGCTCACGAATCGATCGAAGCCATCGTGGTGGTGCCGTCGCCTGCGCCATCGTCGGACGTTTTCTTTGCGACCGCGGGAGACAAGGGACTAGTTAAGCGCTGGAAGCTCTCGGGCACGACGTGCGCCGTCGTCGCAACACAAACAAACGCGACGCCGGCCAACGACGATGACGCGCCCCATGTGCCGTACACAAACCTCCTCTTCAACGCTGGCCGTACGTTGGCCGCATCCTGTCTGGGCCGTTCCTGACCATGGATTCTGTATTTCCAGGCAACGAACTGGTGGCTGTCACGGCGGAACACAATTTTTTGCTGCTCGATCCAGCTTCCCTCGTCCGCACGCGTCAAATCATCGGTACGATTCCGTCGCTTCCATGAGACGAACTCATCACGGTCTCTCCATGGCAGGATTCAACGACGACATTTTGTCGCTCAAGTTTGTGCCGTCCGCCGACGGCGCTGCGCTCTCGGACCGCATCGTCGCGGCCACCAACAGCAACCAGGTCCTTCTTCTTCCTAATGCAAGACTTGCGTATGCTCATCTTCGTTGTCGTGGCGTAGATTCGCGTGATGGACCGCCATACGATGTCGTGCGACTTGCTCTCTGGCCACTCGGACATTGTGATGGCCGTTTCCGTCTCTCCTGATGGCAAATGGCTCGTGAGTGCCTCCAAGGACGGCACCGCGCGTGTGTGGAATCTCGCCACGCTGCGCTGCGTCGCAGTGTGCTCGGGGCACACCGAGTCGGTTGGATCGATCGCCATGGCACAAAAGATTCACAATTACACGTCCGGCACGGCGTTTTTCGTCACGGGGAGCTCGGACAAAACGATGAAGTTGTGGAGCATGGGGTCGTTGTTGTCATCGTCTACGTCGGTGACGACGACGCTGAGCGCGACGGCCGCGACAAAAGCCCACGACAAGGACGTGAATGCGCTGGCAATTGCTCCAAATGACCGCTTCATCGCGAGTGGATCGCAGGACAAGCTCATCAAGATCTGGAACGCAGCGACACTGTCCGTCGTGGGGGTGTGCCGCGGCCACAAGCGCGGGATCTGGGCGCTCGAGTTTTCGCCGGTGGACCAGTGTCTGGCAAGTGCCAGCAGCGACAAGACGGTCAAGCTGTGGAACGTAAAAGATTTTTCGTGTGTCAAGACGTTTGAAGGCCACACGGCGTCCGTTTTGAACGTTCAATTCGTGTGCGCGGGGATGCAGCTGGCGTCGGCGGGGGCCGACGGCCTCGTCAAGCTCTGGACGATCAAGACAAGCGAGTGCGAAGCCACATTTGACCACCACATGGACAAGATTTGGGCGCTTGCCGTCGCCAAGGACAGCTCCGAGATGCTCACGGGCGGCGCCGACTCGACAATTCATTTCTGGCACGACTTGACTCAGGAAGAAGAGGACCGGTTGAAGATGGAATCGGACCAGAAAGTGCTCATGGAACAAGAGCTCATGAACTGCCTGCGCGCGAATGACTACATGCAAGCGATTCAGCTTGCATTCGACATCCAGCACCCGTTTCGCCTCATGCAGATCCTCCGCGACGTCAAAGAAGGGCCGAAGGGGCAGATGCCGAACGTCCCGACCGCCGCCGCGAGCCACGCGGTGTACGACCATGTCGTCCAACAACTCTCCAACGACCAACTGTGCAAGTTGCTCGAGTGGATTCGCGACTGGAATACAAATGCCAAGCACAGCGAAGTGACCCAGCTGCTCGTGTCGAGCTTGCTGCGAGTGGTGCCGCCGTCGCGGTGGGCCAAAATTGAGCACGCCGGCAAGATGCTGGACGGGCTCATTGCGTACACGGAACGTCATTTCCAGCGCATGGAACGGATGCTTCAAAAGTCGTACTTGGTCGATTTCACGATTGTGTCGATGCAAAAGTTGCTGCCGTCGGTCGACGACAACCGCGCGACTGCCGCCATTGACGAGGTCGTCCAGCATGGCGACGAACCAACTACCCCGACAACTCCGACCACATCCGCCAACAAGCGAAAACCCCCGACGACGTCGGCGGCAGCCCCGAAGCAAATCAAACGGTCCAAGGTTCGAGTGTAGGTAGTTGAGCGTTTACACGTTATTACCATTTTGTACACACACTGGCAACGGCAAGTCCCTCCACTGTCAGCGCAGCTCGCGAACGTCGCAGAGCAGTCGCGGTGGAGGCAAGGGCCATGCACGCATTATAGCCACAACGGCCCCGGTGGTGGCGCACCACGGGTCGATTTTCTCGTCGCATGGACGGAACGTCATGGTGGAACCAGCGTCAGCAACATGCAGTCGCGACTGCAGCACCACCCCGTCGTGAAACGCGACCCCCTACCACGATCGACAGTGCCTCGGCATGGGCACGGCATGGAATAGAAAGGAATCGCTCGCACGGACGGCTCACATCGTTTCCACGAACGTTCGCCAAACGAACGGAAGGCAAAAAAGGCTGGCGGCATCTCTCGACAAATGCCACGCCCTCGTTCTGTGCTTGGAGCGCACAACATGACCGTCCATGGAACCGGTGGATTTGCAGCGCAATTTTCAGCGGACTTGCCAACCCGTACGCCGCCTCTCTACACATCCTCTTGTTCGTGGCAAACACATCCACCATGATGTGTCCATCAAATCCGTCTGCTTGGCGCTGTCGGTGGGCTCTTGTCGGGTCGGCCAACTCGTCTCGACAGCTTGGATGCCGCAGCTGACCCCATCGCTGCACGAATATCGCGTATCCGACGTGTTCGCTTGACAACGTTGTTGCTTGAGCCGCCGACGTGACACGACCACGTACGTTTGATTCGTTGCCAAACGTGATGCTGACGGAACCAAAGCGAGCGGACCGCACGTGGCGATGCAATGCCTGCGCGTTCGACGCACTTCAAGCGCTCCAGAACGATTCGAACGCGAGTCGCTCGTGTTTTAGACTCGTTCCAACCCGTACGAGCCGACAGACGTGGAGGCGAGCTGTCGGAAAGCAAGATGGGCTACCGGCATGGAGGCACCGTCCAAGCCAAGGCTGTCCAGACTGTTGTGCCTCTTTCGTCATCAAAATGGGTCCAGAGCAGGTCGTCCCCGTGATCTCTGGCGGAGCATTTGCCAGTGCTCTATTTGCTCCACCGCTTCCACAGTTGATGATGTGGTAGCGAGAGACGGCAGCGACAACACCGATTGGGACCATCCTGCCGCCACCGCGGTTCGACTCTGACACTCCGGAGGCTCGTCTCGTGCCATTCCAAGAAATTTACGCTCATGGTCCATTTGACCCACAAGATCATTGATGCGGGGAATTTCAAGTCCACCGCGCATGGTGTCGACCGAGTCGCTCCAGTTCTTTCTTGGCATCCGACGGGAGAGCTGGAGATTCAAGACGAACGTGGCATTCATCGGCCAAGTCGGCATCGACACCGGCCGCGTGTAGCGCGAATGGTGCTCGTTGGTGGCCATGTCGTTCGTGGATCATGGACTCTTTGCCGCGCAGTCGAATCAAACCCTCTACCCCTTGTAGGCCGAGACGAGCCACGTCCTCGCTCTCGGTCGGTTCCTTGCCCGCGCCATCAATCAAGTCCTGCCATTCTCGCTGACGGTACCGATGATGACCGGAGCCCCGCTCTCCATCCACGACGTGGCTGACGAGACGACAGACGTTCGTGTGGACGTGCGCGACTCGGAGAATGTGGAAGCTCTCGATTTGGACTTGACGTCGACGCTAAACGACGGTCGGAGCGTCGGGTTGATAGACGGCGGGAGCGAGAGACCGGGCGCGAGCCAAGCTGAGTGCGTGGCGTGCTTGGTGTTGTACTGGCTGCTGCTGCTGCCAGTGGCGCAGGCACCGCTCGAGCAGGTCGTGCGGGGGTTCTCCGACGTGCTGCGTTCGGAGGTGATGCGCCGAATCGACTACAAGGAGGTCGAGCTGACGCTGTGCGGGACGAACGACATCCACGCGGCGGTCGAGTGGCAGATTGAAACGATGTCAACATCCAACTCGGCGGCGAGTCTGGCACTCGGGTGGTTCCGGGATTTGGTCGAGCGGGACATGTAGCACCACGACCGGGCAAAGCCACTGCAGTTTACGACAGGAAGTTCACGTGTGCCGCGGGTTGAAGGCGCCGACGGCCAGTTGTGTATCCGTTCCATTTGAAGGGCGTGCCGTACACGAAGGGGGCACTTCCCGAGGTCCACACGTGGTTCAGCCGGATCGTGTACCGGTGTAACCATGCGGGAAAAAGCACTTGTTTTCCTCGTCGACATAGAAGGCGAGGACTTTACGATGAAATCGAGGGATCGATCTCAGTGGTTCTGTCGTGCTTTGTAGTCGTTTTGACCCAGTCGTACACTTGAAGGTCGAGGGGTTCAAAGCAACGATCCTCATGTCGACGCTCGTTATTCGACTCGTCCTTGCCTCTCGGCACCGTCTTTGCAGAACGTGTTGTGCATCGAGTTCGGCAATTCCATTCGTGTTCATGACCCCACCTCCACGGGCATTTGCTAGCGGTATCGCGGCAGACAGTCGACAGCATGGAGTGCTCCACCCAACGGCACGATCCATGCCGATCAACAGAATGGATGGAATGTGGCGAAGTGGCCCAAGCACGCCCATAAAGTCAACAGATTCCAGTCGCGTCGGCACGTCCAGCCTGAGCAATATTTTCTCACCGCCGCTGCATCCCGCTTGACTTGACGATTCGCGGCGTGTGCTCTATCAGGTGATGGATCCAAGCATGTCCAACGAGTTGGTTGCACGCTTTGCCATCGAGAAGACGCTGCAAGAATGCAAGCTCAAGAGGCTGAAGCGGTCGACGAATGGAAGTCCAATGTTCACGTCATCGGTAGATCTTCATGGCGGTGAGAAAGAGGTCGGTCAGGCCAGCGTCGGCGCACGTCGACGCCAAGATGGACATGTCGGTGAGCTCGACAAACTTGGGCTCGAGTTTGCGCGTCATATCGATCTGTTCGCCGCGGACAACCATTTGCTTCCACCGTAGATGTTGCAGGCGTTTAACGTATTCCTGGACATTTGCTTCGATGCCTTCGACAACGATGACGCCGGGCCACCCGATCTTGCTAAACCCGCCAAGTTGCAGCTCTTTGGCCCAGTCCTTGATGACTTGTCGCTTGCCTGGAGCGATGATGTGATGGAAATAGATGGTGCGACGTCCGATTTCAGACGAGTTGACGGCGCGAGGAGATGCCACACGGAATGGAGTGTCGTCGAATCGAGTTGAACGAGCCAGGTAGTCACCTAGACGCTCGACGGCTTCGTGGTAAACTTGTAGCGTTGACACGGCTCCTGCGCAAGCTGCTGCAACATCCTGAAGTGCGTTTACGATTGATGTGCGGTGGGTACGGGGTAAGGTTGGGCACACAAGCTCCAAGTCCAACGGTTCGGTCGGATAGTCGATGGGGAAGGTCAGCTTGAGTTCCGCCACGTAGTTGTCGACAATGCATGTCTTGTAGCGCATGTACATATTAAATCACGCATCAAGAAGAACTTTGCAAGGGCGTACCGTGAGGAAGAGCGTCACGTGGACGAGGGGCAAGTCGATCGTAGTTGCCTCCGTCGAGCATTGCATCGCGGATTCAAAGAGTACCTTCACGTACGGGTCGACGTGCATTTCACCTTCACTCGGAAACATGCTGGACAGGCACTCGAGCTCTTCAAGCTGCTGCTGGATGTGCGGCATCGTCATCGGATATAGCGGGGTGCCCTCGTCCATGTTTCGAAAACCACGAGGGAAAAAAGAAAATCGTCTAAAAAATATATATATATTTCGTAAATCATTTCACAACCCCCATCTGACAAAAATATTGGTGATTCCGATGTACAGACTTGAGACAGTAGATATTTAAGTTTGTATGGTGTCTATGCTCTTTGTGGAGGTCGTGCCTGCACAGCGAGGTATGGGCGAGAAGGCGCTCCCCGCCGTCCGTGCACAAAGCAGCCGAGAACGAGGACGGTGACGACGTCGTTGCCCACCTTCCGCAACACCTATGTACGTCGGCAGCGCTTGCATGAACCAGTTCAGCTCGAACCCGCCACGAACAACATGTTCAATTGCAAACTTAGTGGGTGGAGCGCACTCAGACATCCCGACTTGTGGCAGCTTCACGGACGAGCTGCCGTCCGAGCGCCGTGCCAGATCTGTGCGCCTGTCACCATCGACGATACCTATCACATCGGTTGACGACATCCGAGCACTGACATGCATCTGCAACTTTTTTCCCACGCCATAACGAGATAATGCATCTGAGTTGAAGTGCATTACACCTCCTATGACGTCTCGTTGAAAAACGAAGAGAGCCGCATGGGCGAGCTGCTGGAGGACCTGTGCTTCTTGCTGCTTTTGCTGCTCTTGTGCTTCCTCTTGTGCTTCTTCTTCGACCTGGCGCCGTCGTCACTCGACGAACGGTCTTCATCGGAGCTGTCCGAATCGGACGAGTGGTGGTGCTTCCGCCGCTTCTTGCTCTTCTTGCTGTGCTTCTTGAGCACCTTCTCTCGCTCGAGATCGAGTTGCCGCCGGTACTCGAGCATCTCCTTCTCCTGACTAGAAGCGCTCATGGAGAGCTTGTCCCCGTTCTCCTTTTTGAACTCTTCCCATGTCGGCCGATTTGACGGACCCGCGAGCCTTTCTGCCATCGACAACTTCTCTTCTTGGCCCGTCAGCATCCGCACAAACGCATCCATCGTAGCGGACTTGGCGCCGACCAAAACGGCTTCCACAGATGCGGGCTCCACCTGACCTGCTCGTAGAGCCCGTTGTCTCTCGAAGCGATCGTCATCGATCACGCGATCCTTTACCTGCGTGTAGTCAACGCCCGACGACCGCTTGAACCCGTAGTTCTCGTCGCGATGCTTCTTGCTGCTCATGGCTCCAACACCTCCCTACTTGAAAATTATCATCCGGATAAACCCTTTCCGCCCATATTTCCACAACAATTTTGTGCAATTCTATTTTCCTCAACATTACGGTCGCATGTTGTTCCAATATCGACAAGAATTCATCGAGAAGAATCAATATATTCAAGCTATAGGACTGGTCTCCGCATCACTCAAGGAGCATCGAATTCGGAATAATATATGAGAATATATTTCTTTATACAAACGAGATATTTATTTTCCAACTCCATTGCATCGTCGATGCCCAGGGTGTTCAAAAACACCCGTCCTGCAATTCCAACGAAAATACAAAACAGCAAAAATGGCTGAAAGGACCCAAAAATTGCTCTTGAAACGAGCGGACATTGCGCACACGAAAATGGCTGAAAGGACCCAAAAATTGCTCTTCAACGTGCGGACATTGCGACTATTCCACGTGCTCATGTATCGAATTGTCCCCACAGAAACGAGGCTACATTCAAGTAGTACACTGTCACCCACACCGTTCTCGAGAGGTCCGTCGGCCTCGTTAGCCAAACAAGACGCGCTTGAAATGGTCGCCAAATTGCGTCCCGCCCACTTCGTCTTGGCCTTTGATCGTCGCGTACAGGACCAACTGCGCCTTCTCGACGACCGTTTCCGCCAAGTAATAGTTGCGCTGGCTGTCTTGGGCGTAAAAGAAAAACTTGTACTGGGGACCAACGTCGCCCGCCGCCATGGTCAAAATGCCATGGCCGCCAAACGCACGCTCAATGTCGCTTTGGGCAGGGATTGCCGGCATTTTCACCTGGATCTGGGACACGACACGGAGAGTCCCCCACAAGTTCTGGAACGTCGCGGCGTCCATGGACGGGTTTGGAATGAGCTGGAATGCACGAGGTGGCACGGGAGCTTGCGACGTGGGCTGCGAAAAGTCCAGCATGCCCAGCAAGTCGACTTGAGCCGGAGGAGCCTGGCGCGGAGGATTCGGTGCGCCATACGACTGTTGCTGCTGCTGGTGATGGCCTCCATCGTCTTCTTCGTCGTCGTCCTCTTCGTCCTCTTCGTCCTCGTCTTGGTGCGAATCCACGTTCAAGAGCGTGATGAGGTGGGATGGCGCGACAAACGTCTCGCTTGGCTTGTTGTACACGACCGCCAGGGTATTGAACTCGCGAAAGAGCTTTTCCTGCAGATCCGTCTCGACCATTTCGGCAAACACGTCAACAATGTCAGGTTCAAACTGGCGCACGATCTGCGCCGCCGCGTTTACGTCCTGGCTCAGCAAACGGTAGTAAAACAACGCGCGGTCCTTCACGTCCACATTCTATACGATTGCAACGTCGATGAGAGAGGTTTCCCGAGCATCGTGCACTCGACGCTTCACTCAGCACACCAAACACACAAAGTCAGGGCGGTCCACTCGCCATGGAAATATGCTGCCACGAGCACCACTGTCCAAACAAGTTCGCGAACTCAGTCGGCCAGCTCGTGACGTACATGTTGGGATTCGTCCATGGCGGCTTGTAGCAACCTGCCAAGCATCGACTGCATCTCGGGCGGGCGTTTGAAAAACAATTTAAGCGACGCGCTGAGCAGTTGGAGCTGCACGGACGACGCAATCTCGTCGGCAAAGGCGTCGATGAGGCGCTCCAGCACGTACGGCGCCCGTCGCAGATCCTGGCCAAATTCGCCGAGCATCCAGATGACAGCGCATTTGGCCGGGGCATCTTCGACCTTGGGGATGATGCGAGGTAGGACGTCGAGGACGTCGTCGACCTTATGGGGAAACTTGCGGAGCAGGTCCTTCATCACGACGAGGGTTTCGTCGCGGACATAGTCCAAGTTCATTTCGAGAAACTCGACCATCGTGTCCACGATCTGGTCGTGCATGGCGTCGAGGCCCTCTTGGCCAAAGCTGTTGCCGATCGCAATCTGCGAAATGGCGCGGACCGCGCGGCGCGACAGCTCTTGGTCCACGTCTGTGACGTACTCGCTAAGCTCCATGATGATGTCGGCGACGCTGTGGCTGTCGGCCACTCCGCTCAAGATGTCCAGCTTGACGAATTTGACATGGCTTGGCTCGTTGTACCGAATGTAAAACTGGCGGTAGTCGGGGGAAAACACGCGTGGGTGCTTCCCGACCATGAGCAGGATGTGGTGCAGCACGCAGTAGTTGAGTTCGTGGGACCCGCCGGCCATGAGTGTCAGCATCGGTTGGCGCATTCGCTCAAACACTTGTGTGTGGACTTGTGGCATCTTCTCCGTGAGATTGAAGAAGCACTTGGCGGTCCCGAGCACGACTGCCGAGTTGGACACGCGGAGCAGCGGCTCGAGGATGTTCATGATGTTGAACGTTTCTTCTTCGCTCGACGGGCGGTACGTGCTCACGACATGCAGGATGTTGCATTGCCCCCACTCATTGAACTCGGCGATGCGTGTGAGCAAGTGCATGACGATCTGTTGGTTGACCGCGATGCCGCCTTCGTCCGCCATGATCTCGTTCAGAGCAACCAAGCAGTTCGACACGACTTGAGGGTCGCGGTCGCGGATCATGTTGTAGAGAGTGTCGACCATGTCGCTGTCCTTGATCAGCTCCTTCTTTAGCGAAAACACCTTGAGGATCCCGATCACCCCCGTCTTCCGCACGTACGCACTTGTGTCGGTCAGCGAATGCTACGGCAACATAAGGTCCTGTGATGGGAAGAGAAAATCACCTGGAGCGGTTCGTGGATGTATTCGAGCATCGTTTCCAAGCGCAGCGAGCAGAGCGATCGAAGGGCAAGGCCACGGACGAGCGGGTCTTCGTTTTGACTGAGGGAATCACATGAGAACGACGGGTCGAGCAACTACACATCGTGTACCAATCGGTCAAGAGGGTGTTCACGCACAGAATCGCCAAATCGGCGTTCTTGTTCGCGTAGTTGGTCAAATAGTAATACACCATCTTCTTCGTGATGATGTCCTTGGTATTGACGCACACAACGATCTCGCTAAAGATGCGGCTGACATCGATACCGAGCGTCATGTACGCAATAACTTTCTTGATGATTTCGCGCTTCTTCTTCGTGTCGCGCTCAACCGTCGAGTCTCGCAAGAGCTACACGTTCTCCACGTCAGCGTCGCGTGCGGGCCACAAATGAGAGGGTGGGTGCAACGTACGTTCTTGAGCTCATTCACTTCCCCTTTCTTCTTGTCACTAAAGTAGGTTGGATTGCCTTTGGACGGCGGAGGAACGGGGGCCGACATGCTTCTTGGCGCTGCTCGGTGTGTGGCTGCCTTCCTTCGGCGTGGTGACGTCGAAGATTTTGAAGCCGCGTAGCGATCAAAATACCCTTACTCGGAATGCAAAGTCGCCTTGACTTAAACTATATCGAGCGAATACTGTCGCATGTATGAAAGAATGTATTGTTTAAAATAGCTTTGAATATTTTTAG